GCGATTGAAATTTACATAATAATTCCAACGTTTCGTCTAGCTAACTTATCTGAACTTCTTCAGGATAATAATCAAAATCATCAAAGAAATATACAACGCTTTAACAATCAAATCGATACTGTGTTAATCTAATCATATTTGAGTGTTGATTTTGGTAAATAGGAAAACATGTGTTAGTTAAATGCAAATAAATGACAGGAACGAATTGTTTGTGTGTGTATGTATGTATGTGCAAAATTGAGTTATTAATGAATGGTATTCGGTGTTAATACGTTTTAAATGAAGGAAAAATAAAAGTGCAAGTTGAAGGTTGAAAAGTTGCTTCTGAATCATTGATGTGTATGTAAAATGAGAATCATAAAATACAAAATTGTATTGCTGAAAATAACTCACATTAATTCCGGTCAAAATAACGATGCATGTGAAATAAACAGGCTGAATAAACAAAGGGTCCAATTACTTGTCAACGAATATTTTCCAGGTAGTCGATAGTTGAATACCATCCTTTCGGTTCAAGATGTTCTTGTTCGCCCATATATACAGGGCTTCTGCTATCAATCTTTCTTTATGAGTATTAAAACCTTTCTGAAGTGTTTTGGTCCCTTAAAAATTATTCTTGTTTCTTAGTCATGTATCGTTATCCCAGACTTATTCTCAAGTTTCTTTAAGTCGACTGATCATTTGGGAACATTTTTCAAACATTGTTTTCCTTTAATCTTCCATTGAATTTCTTGGATGTTTCTCCCACATAAGGTGTATGTTAGTCATGACAGTTGATTTCATAGACAGTATTTTGTTGTTCTTCCTTTGATGACCTATCCTTAACTTTCACTAATGTTGATCTTACGGTGTCACTCGCCCGATGATACACTCTTATATCATGCTTGTTTAGAATCCGCTTGATGTCTTCTGATGTTTCACTACGGTATGGGATGGTCATTTATTTATAATTGTTGTCAGGAATTTATATATGGATATCCGTCAGAAAAATTTAAAACGATTATATGTAAAAACATTTCATTCTCAGTGATATCATCAAAAAAACTAGCTTGTCTGACTATTGGATTTTTAATACAATCTGGTCAATAATCCAAATGTTTTACTGTTTCTAAGAGATGATAATCTGTGTATACCATAAGTATTCAGATGGATAGTTTTTAGCAGAAAGTCTAATGAAAGATGGGTAGTGGCTAGCAGTGGAATCTAGTACGCGCGTTTCGTCTTATTTGGGACTCGTCAGCTGGATGTACCTGCATCTCAGAGTTGATGTTCACTCTGGGACTCGAACTCAGTACCGTTCGCTCCAAACGCCATCGCGTCATCCACTTAGCCACCGAGTCCTGATAGCCACTTGCTTGTGCAATGGGGTGAAGTTTAATTCACTTGATATTGTTTTACAAGAATCTTCTCATCGATGTTTTAGGACTGAAATTGCTCATAATTCGCAACTCAGACTTCAGTACTGTAAGCTATAATCTTTCTTTCCCATTAACCAAAGTAAAGTACTAATTTGGAAGTTCAAGTCTTATTGACATCGACCTTATCATCGACAGCAAATATGTATTGTCTTCAGAAAATCACTCTTTGTGTCAAACATCACTCAGTGATTTCACAGCATTGGAACGTTTAGCGATAATATGAGTTTACTGTCGTCACATACAATGGAAGAACACAACTATCTTCACTCTGAGCCATCCATCGGTACCGTCATTATTCTGAGTATCGTTTCCATTAAACCAGTCGCATTCTCTTGATAAGGGTAGGCCACTACAAGATGAACGTTGAAGTCACAACACAGATGATGGTGATAAATTTGAACAATCGAAATGGTTACGATAAGGTTTGAATTGTTACGAGACTTTAAAAACAATAAATTGCAACACAATATCAATGGAATTCATCATGAAATCGGCTCTCAGTTTATAGTGTCATTCAACCATTTAGTTCAGTAAATTGGCACGGAGAAAATTTTAACTTTAAAAATAAAGCTTTAACGACATCCACAACAACACCTACAATCCTTGTAATTCATACCTAATTCCTAACAAAACAAATACCTTTGAAATACACCTTTGAACCTGTTCAGTCCTGCGTTCTGAATTGACTAGCTTTTGGACGCTCGACTAGAAGAGTGCTATGAGCAACTGCGTTATCAAGCTTCGAATATCTGCGATATCTTTAGTTTATAAGACTGAGGACCTCATTGCGCAAAATACACGGAGATCAGGGATCCCAACAACGCAAAATTTAGGAAACCTTTACGGTTGGATTAAAGAATATGGAAAAATTAATAAAACTTCAAAGTGAAGTTCATTTTCGCATTATAAGTCGTTAGTTATTGATGAAAACCTCAAAGGCTTATAGTGACTTACTTTTATCACGAGAACATGATTGGTTTAATGAAAACAATTATTTTTATAACCAATTGTACCAGTGCTTGATTTAATATGCTCTTTGTTTAACTGTGCTAATTACAGCTATTTTGTGCTTCCATTACCTTCCATCATTGTTCCGTGCTTTTTGACTTTGTTCACACGCACTCCGTTCTCCTGCTTGCGCTTGTACCATTTCTTGGCACGATCTTGGCCATCGTTCGATACCACGAGATCGCCAATTGAATAAACTTGATTCCAACCCGCCTTCAGATTTATTTAGCACGTGTTTCTTGGTAGCGGTGTTCATAGTCAATTTGGACTCGACACCACGTTACAACTGGTGAGCCGAATTCTGGAACACGCCCCAACCTCTGGTCAAATCTTCCAAAGAAGTCAATTCGGTGAGTCTATGATTTATCTATCCACGTCTGTCGTATATTTTCATATTTTTAAATATATAATATACTCGACATAACGGATAGCAACTACAGTAGTATTAATATAACGGACTCCCATGTACGTGTACCGAATCCTTGGCACTTTTTATTCACGTGACGGTAAATTCCACGCTTTATTCGAGAAATGTTACCCTATTAACTATTCTCCTCGCTGCTTGGTACGGAATGCATACGCATAACCGTCTACCATCCAGCACCAAATGGTTAAGTTCAACGGTTTCACTGCCAACTTAAAAGTGCTCTACGAGCACACGAAAACGACAATTGATACGAAACCTTACCTCTCATTCTCTTGGATATCAGAACGAGCTTGAAGGCAGATATACAATGTTCCGCCTCTGAACTTGTACACGGCACGACATTGTGTCTGGCCGGGGAATTCTTCACACCAGGGAGCAGACCTAATTTCGGGATATCAGACTACGTCCATCGACTGTCTGCATTTATGCGAACGCTGTCTCCGGTGTCAACTCGAATCCAACATCGACAGGTCGCTCTCCCTCGAGAGTTATCTACCTGTTCACATGTTTTTGTACGAGTAGATTCGGTACGCAAACCTTGGCAGCAACCTCACGATAGCTCTTTTCACGTGACCGCTCGTCAAGAAAAGACCTCCAAGGTTGGTCAACATGGCCGCGTTGAGATCATCAGCATTGATCGTCTCAAACCAGCACACGTTGACAGTGCCCTATCTGATAACTTGAGATTCAATGCTAGACCTATCAAACCTAGCGGGATCCTTAAATCTCCTCCAGGTCCCACGCTAGATACATCTGAGACCTCATTCTCACGTCCCGGTCAACAGCACGCGTCATCTGCACTATCTACGAACGAGACGACAGTCTCACGTCCAGATCTGAAGACCACGCTATCTCTGACCTCAGATGAGATCGCAGGCTCACGAGATACGAACGAGACTACCGTCTCACATTCCGGTCGCCAAGTACGGTTGCTCGTACGTTTCCGCGACTAGCAGCACAGCTAACAACAGATGCGGTGTAGGACTATTCCTATGCTGCATGCATGCTACACTCTTCTTCTTCTTTGTTTTTTTCTGTATCCTGAGCCCAAGCCTCCGGACATCCGCGTTTGGTACCGTCGACTCCAGTCAACTTTGGAGAAAGCTGGCCTGATCACCCACGCTCTTGTCAACGCACTCATTCGATATTCTGGTTTCGAATCTGCCTGGCACATGTTTGTTTTCGCACTTCGTCGTTATGGTCGCTTCTCGTTTCTTGGCTCAACGTGGTTTCGTCCTACGTCTGCAGCGTTTCTGGTCCGCATCCCTACGAACGCAACCTTCAGATTCTGGATACAAACCACTCTGGTGTGGTATGCCAACTCGAGCAACAAATATAGCACACACCCCTGGTACCGTTCTCCGAAAAACACCTTCGTTGGCAACTCGACGACCAACGATCGCTTTCCTGTTCCGCCAATTCTTCCGTCCCACAATCGCTCGTCAGCCGACCAGTCTCACGATTTTAACTGCTACTTATCGAAAGTGTGACTTACTTTTATCACGAGAACATGATTGGTTTAATGAAAACAATCTAGTTGTTACCAATTGTATCAGTCCTTGAATTAATGTGCTCCTTGTTTAACTGTGCTAATGACAGCTATATTGTGCTTATATCATTATTCTTACACTTTGGTTGTTACCTTGCGCGAATCCGATTACGCTCTGTAACCAAGCTTGTATCCTGGCACGATCTCGGTATTCTTTCGATACCACGAGATCGCCAGCAAATATATCTCGACTTGTTCCGTTAACTGCCTTCTGATATTTGGCTTCCGGGGGATTTTATGGATATCCTGGCACGCGTTCCTTTTGTAGTGGTGTTCATAGTCAACCGCGACTCGTCACCACACTATAGGCTCATACACATGTTCGTTAATAGTGTCAGATATGTGCATCAATTGTCAATGAACTGCTTTTCCGTCAGAAATCGTTACACAGCGAAATATTGTTGTCTCCACAGTCAAAAATGCTTATTGGTCACTAATACATTTTCAAGTATTCGGCTACAAACTCATGAACATAAACAAATCAAATGAACACATTCAATAGAGATAATTTCAGAAGAATAAAATACTGGTAAGTTCACTCAATAATGTTTTTAGTTCAAACGTTGGAAATTTAAGTGAACGTTTGGTTATTTTCAGTTGGTAGCGCTCTTTTTGAGATGTGACCTTGAGAGATGCAGAATTCTAACAGTATTCTTAACTTAGTTCTGATTGGCTTTCATCACAGGAAGGGGTCTGTTGTAAGTAGTCGGCTTCATAAACAAGTTTGATTTCACAAGGTTGAGCTAGTCTATCCCTCACTGTCATGTGATGGTTCTGATCCTACACATCTCCCTCATCCTTGGCGTCATTTGCCTGCTTTAGCAATAGCCGATGGAGCCCATAACTACACAAAAGGTTGGTCACAAAAATAATTAGCTAATTTATTCAGATTGCACATATTTCAGCTTACCTTCAATAGAGAAGAAGGATGTTGCTGTCTTTGGAATTGCTTGTTACCGCCAGGCAGACTCGGCTGTAAGTTCTAATGTCTTTTAATGACTGATTGTATTATCTGGCAATAATTTGTTAAAGAATACATTCCACCATGCTGTTACAACTGATGTCACTGCCCCGCTGCAGATATTTTAGTCTATTCAAATGAATTATTTTTAGAGAATCCTCATGAAACTGCTGCATTGCTAACAGAAATATATTTTGTCAAGGTGTCAACCTACCGTGACGTTATTCACATCGTCTGGTAAGCTACAAATTCCTATAGAGCTCCCAGTATTATCGTCTGAGGCTTCCTGTCCTGGCGTCCAAACTGATAATTACTCTGTATTAATATTTGGATATCTGATGTAGTGGCTCATACTGGCCCACAATTTCTAGACAAAGATGCTCTGAACTAAACTGCTGTGTCTGAACCAGTTTTTCTTGTCCGATTTTTCTTTTTTTTTCCGGTCATCGACGATCAGGAAATATAACTCTCCATTAATTACTTATTTCTTATTATCATCAAAAAGCGAAAAGTTGACAAGTTTTTATTGCACTTTCCATTTTTAGTCGTATGTTCAACCGAATCCTGAGATCACTCGAAACACTGTACAAAAAAGCTTGGTTGTACTATCGAGATTTGTAAGTAGTATACAATAATCCCTGTTGTGTGTTTTCATTTGTAATCGTTTTAGGCAAATATAGTTACCACTTAAATCCATTTTTTAAGTTTTCAGCTATACAAAATCTTGACAACCAAACTAAAGTATATTTTTATCGTTCGGATACTCATACTCTTTGTTTTCTGTGTCCTAATTCTTACTATTACTGTGGCACGTGTAAGTATTTAATTATAGCGAACGACAGTAGTACATAGTTATGATTGGATTGACCCCGGTCGTTACCACTACAATTGTTGTTTCAATACGCATAAGTTTAAAATCTGTTTATAATTATTTTCAAAGTATATACTATGAAAAACAATTCACTTCAGGGTATCGCAAAATATACTTCGATGTCTTTGTTGTTGGCTTAGGATGCCGAACTGGGCAATGTAGTCACTTACTACGTTGACTTCATTTGAACGTACGGGCTAGGAAGTTTACAGTGAGGCTCTACTTTTATATTTTTCAAAGTAGAAACTATTAATGGGTAGTGTATATCCTTATCATTACCAGTTTTTACCCAAATATTTAAAAAATCATTTTTTCTTCATAGTTAATTTTATAGATACATGAAAATTAGCTGTCGAGTCTCGAAATACCTAATTGATCTATCCTATGGATTCCATATTCTGTTAAGGTGAATCTAAATGGATTTAGGAGGTAGTGTAAATCTATGTCACTGCATCACAGAGTTTTGATTATTAGATCTTGATTTCTGACTTCACACAGATTTCAGATATCGATAGCCTCAACACGTGTTTTGGAGCGCGGTTTTACAAGGCCATAAACATTATTTCATAAGCTCCAATTATTTGTGTTAGTTGCATTTGATGTAAATCAAGCTATCGAGGAAACATTGATAAGGGAAGTGAGTGTAAGTGAGACGCTCTCGGAAAGAGCTGATACTTATCTGCTATCAGCCCAGACGTTTAAAACGATGGGCGGGACACTTTAAGGAGTTCAGCTGGCCCTCAGCTATTCTATAGCTGCCCACCATTCCCAAATAGTCTGAATGAAACATTGATGTAGCCCCCCGACTCTAATTGAAGTTCAAAAAGCTATAGCTAATCTGAAACGAGGAAGAGCAACTGGTCCAGATAAATTGCCTTCAGATGTCTTTAATTATAGTGGTCCAGTTTTAGCGATTAGGTTGACTAATATTTTAGCTAAAATCTAGGAGTTGGACATAATCCCATCTGACTGGTCACAATCACTTGTCCCAATATATACAGGAATCGGTCAAAATCATCCTGTGATAGCCATGTACTGATTAGTTTGAGTAATATGGCATCTAAAATACTAGCTTCAATAATAATCCTGTTTGGTGAAGACGCTGATAAAATGCATAGTGTTTTGTTAGCACTGAGAAACAATGCCAGGATGTTTGGAATGCGTTTCTCACTTTATAAATGCAAATTGTTGCTTCAGAACTGATCTGCGTCAACATGTGAACCGAAAAGTAGAGTGAAGTAGTCGAACGCGTCGACAACTTCACTTATCTTGGAAGTCTGGTCAGCCCCAATGGGTTGGTGTCTGACGAAATCTCTGCACGGATTGAGAAAGCTCATTTGGCTTTTGCCAACTTATGTCACCACCTATGGCGAAGGCAAGATATCCGTCTGTCGATTAGAGGACGGGTGTACTGTGCGGCAGTTCGTTCTGTTTTACTTTACGACTGCGAAACGTGGCCATTAAGAGTAGAAGATATCACTAATAATTCATAGAGTACAGTGAAAATCAATTTACTCCAAGATTATAAAAAGATCAAGTAATCAAAAAGACTAAATTATTAATTCGTTATGGTGAAGTTCTCAATTAAAATTTGTCGACTTTGCTCATTCCAACCTTCGTCCGACCCTGTAATTAAAACCCATAAAAATACAAAAATAGTTTTTATGTGTATCGTTTTAAAGCTGTACTGGAATTTAAAAAGTGTGAAGATAACCGCATTTTAAGTGGTCTTATTATCCTTGATACTGTTCATAGTTTATCTTATGTAATACATTTTTTACTTCACACATTTCAGTGCAGATAGTACTACCTGTTCTTCAGAATGACAGGTGGTTGTGATGAAAATGTCCCACTTGATCTTGGTTAATCGTACAATCACACTTTTTTTTATATATATCACCAGTCTTAATTTAGAGGGACTTAAAAGTAGATAACCCATTCAGTACGGGAACACGTTATAAACAACGTAATTCTTGAAGTGAATAATTTCATTTTTTAGCCCTTTTAGTCATCTTATTTTCTAACGTGTAATTTCTCCCATCAATTGGGTTTTTTCCAATTCTCCTTGCTAATCGACCTCTGCCCCCCTGAATGCCCTGGTACGGCCGAGAGTGGGAGAGTCCGCTCTCCCTCTCGAAATACTCTCACACGGCCACGCGTATACAGCCTCTGCCAGGGAAGTCCTACTCATTGCCTTCTCGTGGCGGGGGTGTTGTTTACGAAAATGAGAGGACGAAAAGCGAATGTCCGGCGCTTTAACCGGATTCCAAATCAATGGTGCACATGGGCTCCAGTATCCTGCGGGTACGAATGGCGTATGAACCAATCGTTGGTCACCGGCTACCATGGGACTGCATCTCCTTACGATGCTCCACTGCCTTGTGGGTTAGACCTTTAGGTCAAAGGCTCGGGGAGTGGCCCCCTAAGATAACCACCTGCTTCGGTTTGGGCACCCGGGCAGTATCACAGCCCACACACAAATTGATGAACTCTTTATGCCTATGGAAATTACCTTTCTCGCTTTGAAAAACAAACAATTGATTCAGATTATTATCATTACAATTATTGTCATTATTAATACTAATATTATTATTACTACTATTATTGTCATTATTGTTATTATTATCATTATTATTATTATTTTCCACATTATTCACCCTCTTTTATACTTATACAGCGGCTCGTCTTTGGTGGAAATCCGACTGTATCTAAACGTTCTCGAGTCACTGTCCGGTTGAAAATTGTATGTTACCACCGAATACGAGGACTGAAGCAGTTTTTCTGAAACCACGTGCACCATTCAAACTGGCTGCCTTCAACGTTCGCACATTTATGCAGGTCGGACAACAGATAGGGCTGGCTATGTCTTTGGAAAGTCTTAATATTGATGTTTGTTGTCTATCCGAGACCCGTATTCAAGACTCTGGCGAAGTACTACAAATTCGATCTCCATCTGTCGCTTCGAAAAGCTTGTTTTACGTGCGCTTATCCGGGGACCCTGTGGCATCTTCGTCTGGTCTTGCTGGCGTTGGTGTCGCACTAAGCGCTAGAGCTGAGGCAGCACTAGTCGATTGGATCCCCATTAACAGTCGGTTATGTGCTGTTAGATTAGAAAGTTCCATCAAAGTGAGAAGAAATCGGCGTGAGAAACGATGTCTTTTCGTCATCTCCGCCTATGCCCCGACAGATTGCAGCCCGGATGCAATCAAGGATGAGTTTTACCACCAGTTATCTGTTCTTCTCCAGAAAGTGCGTTCGACAGATATTGTAGTACTAGCCGGAGACTTGAATGCTCAGGTCGGGCGTCTAGGCACAGAAGAGAGTCGTTTAGGTGGCCGATGGGGACTCGTTGGTCGCAGGTCAGATAACGGGGACCGTCTACTGCAACTTTGCACAGACCACAACCTGTTTCTGGCTAGCACTAACTTTCGGCACAGTCATCGCCGATGTGCCACCTGGCGTCCTCCCTCTGCATCTCAAGCCTGGACTCAGATTGATCACATCGCGATCAGCTACCGCTGGCGTGGTTGTGTACAAGACTGCCGCTCCTTTTGGAGTACCTATCTGGACTCTGACCATGCCTTGGTCTGCGCCAATCTTGCCTTACTTTTCAGTGGCCAACGAAGTGACCACCACCAAAAGATTGATGTTAGCAAGCTGGTTGCAACTTCTGTTGCAAGTAAGTATCGAACCGAGCTAGTCTCTAGGCTAGCTACCACTCCACCGAAAAGTATAGATGAGCATTGGTTGCAATTGCATGACGCCATGAAAATGGCGGGAACAGTCAGTTGTGGGTTTGCGAAACGTCCCGCTTTTAAGCACTGGGTTTCTTCTGGTTCCTTACAACTCATTGAAGCCCGTCGGTCTACTCCGGGTGACCGTGAGTTTGACCATAAACGAAGGATATTACGTAAGGAAATCGGGCAAAGCTTGCGTAGGACCGAGAAGCCTGGTGGTCGAAGCGTGCTAATGAGCTGGAAGCAGCAGCTGCATCTGGTAATTACCGGAAGCTCTTCCAGCTCATCCGAGCCACTGGCAGCAAGAAGTCTGGTGTGAGTGAAACAATCTGCGAGGATGATGGGATGCCAATCACTAACATCCATCGACGTCTTGGACGATGGGCAGAATTTTTCGAAGGGCAGTTCAACTGGCCTGCTGCTCCGGCAACATCGGTCAGACTGTCCTGCCCTCCATGGCCGGTGACGACTGATCCACCAAACGAGGAGGAAGTCCGCAAGGAACTCCAACTCTTGAAGCGTTACAAATCACCTGGCCCAGATGACTTACCTCCGGCTCTTTTTAAAGATGGTGGTGACTTTTTGACTAAGGAATTGACGACGTTGTTTACAAAGGTTTGGGAACTAGAGAGTGTACCAACGTCATGGAATGAGTCGATAGTTGTCCCTATCTTTAAAAAGGGTTCACGTCGTTCTTGTAACAACTATCGGGGGATAAGTTTACTTCCGATTGCGTCCAAGCTATTGGCTTCCGTCATTCTTCGTAGGTTGTTCAAAACCCGAGAAAGATTGACTCGCGAGGAGCAGGCTGGGTTTCGTTCTGGTCGAGGATGTATTGATCATATCTTCACCCTCCGCCAAATGTTAGAACACCGCCATACTTTTCAAAGGCCAACAATCGTAGTGTTTCTTGACATCAGGGCTGCCTTCGATTCGTTGGATAGGACTGTTCTCTGGGATTGTCTATTGAAGAAGGGTGTGCCTGAGAAGTTTATTAACATCCTAAAAGCCCTGTATAAAAACACCTCAGGCAGAGTGAGGGCATACAACCACCTCTCTCCATTGTTCCATTCGAGCAGTGGGGTTAGGCAGGGTTGCCCAATCTCACCATTTCTCTTCAACTTTGCCATCGATGACATTCTGGAAACAGCTCTGATGAATGTAAGTAATGGTGGTGTGGATCTGTTGCCTGGAGAAAGACTTCTCGACCTTGAGTATGCGGACGATATTGTCTTACTGTGCGATAATGCCCAAGGCATGCAATCCGCACTTAATCAGTTGGCAATCAGTGTCCGTAGGTATGGTATGTGCTTTGCACCTTCGAAGTGCAAAGTACTTCTACAAGACTGGCAGGATTCCAATCCTGTACTCACCCTGGATGGTGAGCAGATAGAAGTAGTCGAGAAGTTCGTGTATCTGGGTAGCTGCATAAGTGCTGGTGGGGGTGTGAGTGATGAGATCAATGCACGAATAGTGAAAGCCAGAGCGGCTTATGCCAATGTGGGCCACCTTTGGCGCCTTCGTGATGTTAGTCTGGCTGTAAAAGGTCGGATCTACAACGCGTCGGTGAGAGCAGTTTTGCTCTATGCTTGTGAAACCTGGTCTCTCCGAGTTGAGGACGTTAGACGACTCTCTGTGTTCGATCATCGCTGTCTCCGAAGGATTGCTGACATTCAGTGGCAACACCATGTCAGTAATGCAGAGGTTCGGCATCGTGTGTTCGGGCACAGAGATGATAACTCAATTGGTGTCACCATCTTGAAACACCGACTTCGGTGGCTTGGACATGTTCTCCGAATGTCGTCCCAGAGAATTCCACGTCGTGCATTATTTGCCGACTCTGGGACTGGTTGGAAGAAGCGGAGAGGTGGTCAGTGCATGACATGGTGTCGTGGCATGAAAGAAAGCTGCAAAGGACTGGCTTGTGTTGGTCCTTCACGACTCCCTGGCTGGGGTCCGAGAGATGGTGCAACACAGTGGCTAGAGACGTTATCAGATATGGCTCAGAATAGAAGCCAGTGGCGATCCTGCTGTAACCTTCTTTTACTTTCTTCATAAAAAGTGGTTGTGTCTCCTTTACCTGAAAGATTTCTTCTGATTGTACCTTTTCGTTCCGTCGTTACTACCACACTACCTTACTCCAATCTCTTCGTCATTGTTCTCTTTTTCTTTTGCGTTCCTTAGTTTTTTTTTTCTTCTTTCTACTTCTCTTCGAATTCCCATTGTTTTGTGTGGCGCATATATATTGGCGCTCTATTGTACCAATATTTATGTGTTCAAATAAAATAAAATAAATCCCAAGTAAACAACATTTCCAATGGATGTTAATGTGTTGGACGTTTCACACCTATGTACATGTATTACGAAAACGTGTGCTGAATCTTGACATTTCTCAGATATCAATAATGGTACTTGGTGTTATATAAAAGACTTCATGATCTAAATATTCCACTGCAAGTTGTATGTTCATTATATAATACCTCATGTCACTTAACTGTAAATACAAGTAATTTACAGTAATAAAACCTTTCGATTGATGTCGGTTCCATTCAACCGTCAATATCACCCAGTAGCATATTTAATTACAATATATTACTGTTTGCAATTTTTTAATTTGTAAATATTTTCTCTTTTACTTTTTTTCTCTAGCCACTTTTTAGTTTCATCGCCCATCATCTTACGACAATAATTGATAATCTGTTTAAAAGCAAAGGTTTTACTCCAGAAAGTCTCCAGAACTCATATGAACAATTAAGTCATTTTGTAGACACTGTCTTAGGTGATCCAGTTTCTTACCAAGGTATGGTTATATGGTGTGCTTAATTTTCAACTAATTAGCTTTTTTTTCCTAGTAACCGACTTTTGAAGCGCTGTTATGATTGGTTCACAAAATAGTTTTTTGACACAGAACATACCGATCCACAATAAAAGCATCACTTTAGAAAAATCAACACGTTAACAAATTATTTGACTTAGTAACCACTTATCTGAAGTGTTTAGCAAAGTATATACTTGAACGTAAATCATTTTTGTTAATCATAGGGTCATTGTAGGACATTAAGCAGACGATAAATTCGGTCCCATAATTCGTAGTCTAGTTTCTGATGTGCACATCAAGGTTATGTATTGGAATTACACTTGGTTGAATAGTACGAGATAAAAGTTTTGTACTGATGAAAACTCCAAAACGTTTGGTGAAATGTCCGTGTACAAATTTCTTAAAGCAATAAACAGTTGTTACCCTCACCACAAAATGCATACTATCACACTTTTATCGAAAACATACCCTACCGAATTGTTACTTTGATCACAATGAGTCTTTCGCTAAGTGTTCATCTTCAGTAAAATTGATTTCACTTTATTTCATATATTTGAAAGAAAATGAATAAAAAAATCAGCTCATTCACCAGGTACTTGAATATCAGTCACACTCTAAATGTGAGAGCTAACGCCACTACTCGACTGCTGAAACTGCTATAGGTGGAGCGGGATTGACATAAATAGAACTTAGGTATTTCTTTAACTAAAAATAGATTACTAATTATTTTCGTATCGTTAAAAACAATTACATTCATTAAAAGGTTTTAAACATATGACTGTTTTATAAATGTCTAGTGAAAAAAGAGCTTTGTTACACTCATTATTTACGGATTCATTGTATATGTGTGATGTCAACAATTGATTCGTAACTAGCAGATGTCAGGTCCCGATTCAGTCAACTGGATAACATTACCATCAGAGCACATAATAGTCACTTAAACTATAAAATTGTATTTATAAGTGATTTTTTTACATGGATTATTATATTCTTAAGCAGGGTGTGCTGCGAAATTATCAAACTAATCCAAGTATTGACTGCAAAAGTCTGTAAACATTAAGTGGCATTCTTCATTTAATAAACTTACTTAAGATTTCAAGTATAGAATGTAATAACCTATAAATAAAATGGTGTTATTTCGAAATAATTGATGTTGTCGAAAGTTTTCAGGTATTAAATAAAATGGATATTGTATCATTTAGCAAAGTAATCAAAAGTTGTTAAAATGTTAAGCTGTGCAAGTTTCAGACTTATTAGGAACTAATAATTTGCACAATAATCATCTCATATATGAGAGAAAAAAAGTGAAGAATAAGATAAAACTTGGCACTTTCCATTAGTAAAATTAAAAGGGATGATAAGTTCATGGAAGAAAAATGAGTTGAAGGTGACTTTTTTGTACAGAGTTTGGGTTTGAAATGATGAAATCCTATCCACAAATCTTCGAACCAGTTTTTTTTAACTTCTTAGATGATTTTAAACGACACTTCTTGTGATGGCGTGTAATTAGAGGTGGTCATGTTCACTAATTGAACCGTTATTCAATTTTCATTGACCTTTAGATTTCTTTACAGATTAGTGCAAGAATATTTGTTTACTAAGTTCATACTTTATGTAACTAACATAACCTGTTCCATGAAAGTAAGTAATAAATCCACAGTGAAACGGCACAAGGTGACCGTTTGTCCTTGAAACTTCCCCGAATGTGGTTTTCAGTAGAAAAAAACAATTCGAATAAAACATCTTTCTGAAAGATCTATATAGTCTTTTTTTCAAATATCTTTTCAACTTTATCTTCCCTGAATTCACTGTTCATGAATAAAACTTTGGAATTTCATGAGTACTTTGAACTTGACATTTTGGTTTCAGATTGCTATCAATAGACTTGGTCGGGGAACTGTGGTGTTTGCTACCGATATTGGTGTGGAGACGAAGGGACAATAAAGTCTGAGACAATTGATTGACATTTTGCAAATGAAGTATTTACTGTATGGTTCTCCAATTATGTAATTTTGTGTTTAAATACATTCGGTTGTCCTCACTGGTGTTTTCGTTCACTACAAAACCACCCTCCAAAAATATTCGGCAGACTTTACTCATTTCGTCATCAATTATCTCTTCTGTACATGTTTGTCTAGTTATTTAGGGTATAGAGGGGATTAAATATCTCTTCCTACTTAACAGCATTCAACTCGGGAAGTTCGTATGACTACCCGTCCCAGGTTGGCCTTTTGTATATCTATAGTTGTAAAGATCAAACTTGTCTTCGTTGCTCTGATAAATTTAATAGCTACCATTCTAGTCCAAATTAACTTGTTTCCTAATAACTGATTTTAACTTGAAGCTGGAGCATTTCTCTATAAATGACTATTTCCGAGTATGCTGACTAATCTGAGTTGGTAGTTCAGCAAATATTTGCATAATTCACAACAAAAGTTCTATAGAACACTTATTATTATAAACAAAAGTTTCGTTACATTTCCAAAAATTATTTTATTTATTAGTTATTCGCCTATCGTAACTACCTTTTTTTCAAAATTGTCGTACATTAGTGAAAACTTTAATGAATTTCTGTTCTATTGTTGTTTTATAATCTTATTAACTTTTCTATTTTTGTTTTCTATTTCAACATCTTCATAGATGCACTATTTTATAATTTAAGTGCGTCCAATTTTGTTCGCGTTTACAAACGTGACGCATTATGTCTATTCAAATTACTTTTATTGGAAAGACGTATTTTATTTACGGGAGATTCTGGCGGAACTCTATCAAATTGGATGTTAACTTTACTCAGTTTGTATCCAGGTAATCAAATTTATGTTATTTATTTCTTGTAATAATTTTTGTCTTCCATACAATTTCTAATCACAATTTATTTGAAAGTGTAAACATTCATTAAGATATGTAATTTCACAATACAATTTTAATTATAGTTTATGTAATCAAATTCACTGCTAAGTTTTTTGATGATCTGATAGTATTATAAATTATCTTGACATATATATTGACAGGCCATGAACTCACGAAAATCAAGGTTTTTAAATGATTGGGCTAATTTAACTTAAGGAATATAGCCCTAGAAAAATGAAAAGGTGTTTTTGACAGCAAACTCAGGTCCATATCCAGAAAGACGGTTTGATCTATGCAATGAATTCAAAACATAGTGCTATAAAGGCACTAACCTCCTTCCCCCAACTTTCATATGATTGTAAGCCCCTGCATTATTTTCCTCGCGAGGAGAAACCAGAAAGAACTATAAATCAAACTCTAATACATATGTAACTGAACTATTTTAGATCAGAGGAAATTATGTTAAACAAGGATAGGGCGTTTTGCTGTTATATATATATATATATATATATATACTAGTAATTTTGTCTAACCTATTATTACGGTGCTTGCCAGTCAATTCTTCATCCAAGAGAACAGATGAGGTTGATATATTTTACATTTTACTCTCTACTGCTGATTTTATCATGAATTCATTGGTTGTTATATCTCTTTAATTAATATTTCTGTTATCGTACGTTTCAACAGATATGTTACGTAGTGGTTTGTCACAATGTTCCGTTATTGATCCCTCATGGATTTCAGAAACAAGTTATTGGTCTAATATGAATGATTCCAGTTCAAATAGCTTTAATTCTTATCAGTATTCATTAGAAGGATCATTAACTAAGATCAGTGGACAAGTGTCAGAACAGAATACAGATTCAACTCTAAATAAAGTAAGCTTTCTTGTATGTGTCCAGGAACATCTTCATTTGTTATGGTTCTCAATGAAAAATTGTGATGTTAAATATTGCCGTTGATATATAACCTTTCTCACTAATCATTTACAATTACGTTTTAGCGTTGATTATTTATTATCGCACTGGAGAGACCAGGTTTTGTATATTTTCTGCGCTTTCTAGATGTCTTCATTTTCAGTACACTATAAGTATAGGTTTAACAACTGTTTCACAAACTCAGTCAAGAAAAACTATTCATTCTACAATTGGTTGTTGGAAGTCTTGTATACGAATAACTATTTGTTAAACGGTGTATTGAGTAGTCAATTGTTGTTAAGTTATAAGATATTTTCAAATGTATCTATAAATACTGCTAATGTTCCGTTATATGAATTCTTAAATCTACATTGTTAAAGCTTACTGGACAAGGAATAATAGACGAAATTTCACTGGCTGCTTTAATCACGTTTCTTGTTCCCTGATCATTGCGTCAGTGCTCAGTAGTTATATTTCTTACAAAATTCGATTCATATATGTAGGTTGCTCAGTGGAGTCGCTTGAAGCTCTATATATACTACCAAAAAAGACCATGGTTTAGTATAACTTGTTTGTTACTTGGAATCAAGTATTTACTTCTATGAATTCGGTGTTCATCTTGTTTTGCTAATGAGGTATGGCAACTCGGACCGATGCACTTATGTTCCTGGTCCTACGTTGTAGCTGACTGACTGACTTGGAATCAAGTATTATTAATACGGAATTACTGTTTATTTTATAGCCTTGGATAATGTACTCCTAGTTTCAATGAATAATATTGAATTGTAATGAAAGCATCATCGGATTCTCCTTAAATATCTATTCCATCCGTTTGTATTGGTTGCTTTCATTCAAACAGAAAATAAACTTCCAATTAGTCATCTCCACTTTTTTCATTCTTTCATGTCCTTAACTTTTTCACAACAATAATAACTCATTTCAAATCCATTTCAATCTTCTAGGAAGAAGACGTTCAGCTTACTTCAAATGTTGATTCCAAGAACTCAGGTTTGTTTATTGGCCTATTATATAAAGATATTGTACGTGCTTTTTTTCACAAGTTCTCATTTTTATAATATGGGCGAATGTTTAATGGTGTCATCAAGACCCTAATGATATGTAATGGTTATTCGAAACGATACTTTCACCAACTATACTGCAATTATGACACTATGGCACATATACAGGGTTACTAATATCGCCTATCTATCAGTACCAGCCTTAGTGAATTGTTTACAGAACCCATTTTATAGCTTTTGTTAAAAATGACATCAGATGTGTGTTATTTTCATATGTAAACAACCGAATACTCATCTATATCGTATAAGCCATTTTACTTCGTATTTTCTATGGTATCTACTTATAGCCGTTTCGGTAGGTGCAGAATTTGAGGTCGATGTCTACGTGATTGTTCTAATCAATGGTTGGAGACGTGATATATTTGAGAATCAGTCGTAGTGAAACAGATACGTTCACTCATCGTCTTTTATAAGCTCTCAAGTATTAAATTATCTTACATTTTTATTCTTGAATCATATTGTTTATGTTTAATGTTCACTACTACCATTAATAATGCTACTATATCTACTACTATGACGTTCATCTTGAGAATTTTGGTTCTACGTACTCAGATGGTGATGATACACATATGTGAAAGGTTCAACATTGCTTATGACTGACTTCTAATTTCTCTTCATTGTATCACCTGATGGTTTATATGAGTATATAAGTTATTTATAAAGATTTACTAAGGTGAAAACCGTTTTTAAGAAATTCTATACCCAATTCATCGTCGGATTGACACTTTAATCTGCCAATCAGCATTTTGTAAATACTCATTCTATTTTTGGTTTCAGCCAATAATATTGATCCACCAAGAACTCATATAATAACTGTATCTGACACATTACATACGGAATCAAAACAGTCTGTAATAAATGAGTCATATAAAAAATATCAAACCAACAATTTTCTGGAGAAAATAACTGACGATTCAATGTTCAAATTTTCGTTAAATTCACCATTTCCTACTGATGATTGGGGATTTCCTTTATCTGTATTTACGAAAGTGAGGTTTTTTGTTATTCAGTTCTATGACTTGAATAATTTTCTCTAATTTACTATACCGTTAGACATAGATTATGCTTGAATAATTTTTCAATCATACTTGCTACAGTTAAATAACAATTATTTTTTGCACAAAGTAGCATAAAACCTGTTTCCGTAGTGTATTTTTTAATTTTTCAGTTTTGAACCAACATCAAATGTAATACCAGGGACATAATCTAATGAAAGAAAACCTTTATCGGTATCATTTGTGGAAACAAATATGTCTGTTAGCATTTATTAGGAAACATTTTTAATTCTTAGGAGATCTCAGCTATATCAAGTAATCTGGCAAAACTGAGCTATCAGATCGCGAAGCACCATGTTTAACTGGAGCTTCTCATAATTTTGGCAAACATTTTATAAATTCAATGACATCCAACACATGAAATATATGCATTTATTTAACTGTCCAAGTATAAAAAAAAACACCTCTCGTCAACTAAATTAGATTTTAAGTTAAATCATGTAGGAATTTTAGTTGTAACTAGTTCCTCCTTGTTGGTTTAATTGATATTTATCTAGTAGTGACATTTTAAATTTTCAGATTATTGTATGTTTGTTTTCTATTTGAATAAGTCAGTAGTTAAACATGCTCAAAGAGGAAATTCCAAACTGAATGCATTTTATGTAGTCATCAACATTCATCTAAAAGTGAAGTTCTCTGTTTTTCAGCAACAGAAACTGGCGTACTTTTCACATATTAGTTATACGTTTTGTACAATTTGTGAAGTATGGCAGGAGTCAGCATTCAAATCACGTCTAATTAACATGACATCATTCTCATAGGTTCTTTCACTATCTTCTCGCATGTACTGTCACTCATTTATCCTACACAGTTTCGCATACCCATCTTTAAACATACTGTTTTTGTGTGATGATTGATAAGGTTGAACTAGAAACCAAACCAGGTTAGTGGGATGGTGTTTGAACCTTTGACTACAGTAGTTGAAAGTCGAACGCCTTAGTAAGTGAACTACCGGTCCATATCGACGACTTCAACCGTCTCACTACTGTTGTCTCAATTTATTTGTAGCAATTTCTGTCAGTTACCAGATATAAATAACGCTTTCAACTGGGCAATAAACTCTGACATTCAGGCTTTATGATCCTTACCTAAACTTTGTAAAAAATTTTCCGTATAAAATTTAAAAACTATCATCGGTGGTTAGTTTTGTCAACATATTTAATGTGTCCAAAATGCCGTCTGCAACGCATAAAATTTATAACATATCATACAGAATGTTCGTCGAATTTTACCTATTGTTTTTCTACAGTCTTATTTAGCGCCTATTTATATTCCCCTTGGTTTAATGGATAAACTACTAGAACATTCTAGTCTTCCTATGTCATTCAGATCAAGTATTAATTCACCATCATCTGGAAATCAGATTCTGACTTTAACCGATCGATCAGTACGTGGTTTTGTAGCTGGTGCAACCAATCCCTTATTGCAATCAAACAAACAACTAACTGAGGTTTTCGTGTCATCCTTATCGCCTGTTAAGGATATTTGTGAAAACTACTTCCCGCATTTGTCTGAACTAACCGGTGCATTTGGAAAATCGACCTTTGGGATAGAAACAGATTCTATGTCGAGTCTTTCACTGTCTGAAAATTCAACGAAAACTTCTTATTCCATTAATGTCGATAGTGAAAAGAATACACAAAACACGGGATCCAAAGTTTCAAATTTTTCACGACCATTTTCTTTGGTAAGTAATCAGGTGTCGATAGATTTGTCTTGGTTTGTATATAATTGAAATAAAATGTTCTTTTTTAATGCTTAGTTAGAGATTTACACACTTTCATCCACAAGAATAGTTGTCCCATGACTTACTACTGAAGTAATAGTTATACATTCCCAGTAGTATTTTACTGACATAAAAATATCGTTTGTTTTACTTTGTCTTGTCTGCAACACAATAAGTTTTCCGATCTTGACAGTAATCTATCATTATGAGAAGGATGTTCTTACCAGTATTAGTTTCAGTTATTTAGTTGATAAAAGCATTTATCCGATAGGCACTACCATATTCCACAATTAACAAGAAATTCACTTTGATGTATCATCTTTTAATTCGACTCAGGATCCCTCAGACTTCAAAGTGAACTTAATAACATCCTGAGCTCTTTGTTCAACAACTTTTACTCACATTTGTGGTCAAGCTTATTTTTACTTATCGTTAGTATTTTATTATTATGTATTGTTCTTACATACAATTGTGGTATTCGCTTTTATTTTCGTTTCAGCCCAAAAGATCACAACCAATCATTCAAATAAATTCAGAAAACATTACTGACAAGTATCCTGTCAACTCACGCTCTATGCCTGTTCCACTGAACCGTGCATTGCAACTAAGTCGTACTGATAGATTGTTTATTGATCATTTGGTAATGACTGTCAATACATGGTACAGTGCACAAATAGACTATTGTCAACAATTGTCTTCCAAAAAAGGTGAATTGGTAACATCCCATAGCTTTCATAGATTAGATCAATTGGATACAGAAACTTTGGAACAGCTCACATTAATCCAAAAAACAGCCTTATTAAGATTTCCATGTGAGTATTTATTGTTATCAGCCGAGATTTTTCGTCTTATAATTTTGTTATATGATAATTGTGTCTGCTAATCCAAACTATCCCATTTCAATTGAGACACTTATTCACTTCTGTTCTGCACCTTATGAAGTAATATAATATGACAGAAATCAAAATATTCTAGGTTCAAAATCAGTATACACCGGTGACTGTTGAGTGGCCTTGAATCGGACTCCGATTTGATCATGTTTTTTTTGCTATCGAAGTATACATGTCGCCAATCCTCGCATATAATCATCGACTTAAATCGCGTTGGTGAATAATGAAAGTAAGTCAAATACGAGAATGGATTTTTGAATACGTATATTTCGTACAATCGTTGATCGGAAAGCGAAGCAAAACGAAATAATGTGCAATGTAGAAGGCGAATGAACCAAATCGATTTAACCAAGCGTGAATCGATATTTACAGTCAGATAAAGATAAGTTACAGACATGTGATGAGTAAGATAAGAAATGCGCGAATAATTAACAAGGTCAAAATGTCACTCAAGAAGAATGAATAAATTGGCCTGTCCGCAAGGTAGAATAGGCTATGTGAGTTTATCATAGTAACCGATACTACAACTGTACTACCTTTTCACTTGCAAAATTATAAGTTATAAACAGACATTTCTGTAAATAATACATCCCACAAATTTTTAGTGTTGGACTTAAGATTGAAGAGAATATGAAAGACATTCATCTGTATAAAGATTGCATATGAATGCTCTCAACTATTTGTTTTTTAATATGTGTCAGTCAGTCAGCTACAACGAAGGACCAGACACATATACCCATCGGTTGAAGTTGCCACACCTCATCAGCACAACAAAATGAACACCAAGTTCATAGACGTAGTCACTTCAATGGTGATAATACATAAAAGAAAGAATTAGTTGGTAGAAATAAATATATAAAGTAATTTTAATCCGACGGTTTAAGGGAAGACAAGGAGTATATACATCGACGCCATTGTGATCGATTTTGGACCGTGTCACCCAGAGTCACGCGGATCCCAACCAAGTAACCTGCATCTGCCAACCTGGCTAAGATCAGAAGTTAGTGACTTTGTGGATTGATGCCACGTCTTGGTTTGGCCGACCCTAACTTTTTTCCAACCATTTACAACACCAATCAGCATTGCGTGTCGTGAAAGTCGGTAGGTGGGAATACGTAATATATGACTCAACCATCTCAGTTGGTATAGATTGACGACCTCATCAACTAATTCACCATCATTCCCTAATACTGTACGTCTAACCTCACTATTACTTACCCAGTAATCCCAGCAGATGCGAGCAATTTGAATTCAATTAAACCTTTCATTTATCAAAGAGTAATCATTAAATTGTTATTATATATTTAATCTCTCATTTTGTCATCAAATTGATCATGTTTCCTTAATGAATTAATCAAACATTTCATTTAGCTAAATATCAGAGGTTCATGTCTTCATTACTTCTAATGAAACTAATAAAATAGAAGTTTTGTTAGTTAAGCTAAAATTGTTCATTTAAATTTTTGTGTGATTTTCTCGTTTAAAAATTTGCCAAACTAAGTTTTTAAAAAAACTACTATCCACGTGAAAATTACTACTTATTTGTTGGCACTCATCAACAATGACTTTTTATCTTTATATATTTTAGTAATATTGACAAATCTTTTTTGTCAATTTGTAGGTATAGTTAGTTTAATACAATAAGGTAGACAGATATATTTATCGTATAATGATGATTTACAGGCTATCACATGATAGCAATTTTGTAGAACAATATGTATCTTAATGTATTCACAGTTGTGTATAAAACTATATGTTCTAATCAACATATAGGACTTTAGAAAAATATCCATGAACTCGATTTGTCTCACCATATCAGCACAGTAAGATCAAATTAACAAAATGAGTCGAAGTAATTTTAGGGTTCCTGATAAGGTTTAAAATAAAAGAATGTATTCTTAGAGTGAAAAGTTTCAAAACATATTGCAACACCATCCATTTTGATTCATGTTACTGAGTATCTCCAACCAAAAAAGTAAAACATTGTCACTGAAATAAGTTAGTGCATATTCAATTATAGAGTTATTTTAAGAACTGTAGTCTGTTTAAAATTCACTTTAATTACGTAATTGAACTTAACTCTTTTGTACACAGAAATCAGGTTTACAATATTAAATTTTTGCCACTTCAGGTGAGTACAAATCCCTGATCCAAATCTCCTTTAAACCAATAATAAATATATTTTTTGTTATATCCGAATGAGTAGAAAAACTGTATTCATGACGTTTCGTGACTTAATTTGGGCCACTTCTTCAGAGTAAATAAGTGATCGAAATAAATTAACACAATTCTAAATAGTACAATGATTTTAAACAACGACCGACGTGGTAACATGTGATCATGTGCAAAGGATTGAGCGGTTTATCGATTTCCGTTCTCTTATCAGATATAGCCATACAAAGTAGTTTTCGAATACTTGTTTACCAACTACACGCTTTTTACGACCATTGTAAACTGCTCCACAATATCAAGTAAACTGGTAAATGCATCTAATTTATGGAAGTTTCTAAGATAAACTTCCGCTTTGGGCCACCCACACTGTGCATGATCAATTATATATATATATATATATATATATATATATATATATATATATTAAAGAATCCCATCATGAAAATTAGAACATACGTTGTCAAGTATTAATACTTTTACTGTTATGTAACTTTCTGTACATATATTGTCTTTTTTTCGTTTTATTTATTTAGCTCAAACTATTTTAGATGCTTGGATACGACAACAGTTTTTAATTTATTTAAGAGCATTATTATTATCTGCTCAAGGTTACAGTAAGTTGTTTCTTTGTAGTTTCTTTTCACTGCTGTATGTTTACAACCCATGGATATAAATTATCAGATAAATTCTTTCTTTTTTTGTCGTGAACTAATTGCATAAGTAATCAAGTGCTATGTTCGTGACTTAATTATCATTTCAATCTGTAAGTTCACGAGGTAATATTAACCTTTAAATAAGTGCTTTTCGCGAAACTTATGCAATCTTAATGTTAAACTCTACATGAATATTTTCAGATCGGATATAATCAAGAATGTTTCCAATATTCTTATACAATTGTATCGGTTTTCGCTAATTTTGTATCTTAGTAATGGCGTGCAGTTGTCTAGTTTTTTTTTGTCATAAAGTTAGTAAGCACAGAGTGATATAATCAGTGTTAATAAGATTTGGTGTCAATGTCGCTTATTTACTACCAACAGCTGTGATAATTATATTCCATCGAATAGCAAAGTGTATTATATTTCTCCAGTTTTCATATTATTTACAAATATAACTGTATATAACCCACCACATTCTCAACTTGCTAATAAATGTACATCGAATGTAATAACCACAGCATAATTTTCGTTCCTTATTACTCCAGCTATCTTCAATGATAATTACTACCATAGTATACGAATAATTTCCTTAATTTTCAAGTCTCGGGATACTTCACGATAAGTTGGTCACCTTAGACCACTGATCCGCCATCCAACGGTGTTAATGTCTAACTTCAAACAATCCACGAAATTGAGCGACACATCCACCATCGTCATCAGTGATCATGATCTCAGCTTCTTAAATTACTACAATCTCCGCAAAACCCCTGATACTAATCAACTTATGCTCACTAGTGACTGGCTTCAAGAGGTATATCCTGGAGTTCTAGTGAGAAGTAGTGACCAGTAGAGTTCAACCGAGTCAGTTGTGAGATAATAACTCACTGATGACAATGGTGGATTTGTCGCTCAATTTCGTGGATTGTTTGAAGTTAGACATTAACACTGTTGGATGCTAGCTGGTTCAGTAGTCTAGTGGTTAAGCGATCGCCCGCGTCACTGATAGGTCGTGGATGCACACTTCTGAGGAGTCCAATAATAGGACGAAACGGCCGTCCAGTGCTTTCAGATTTTCCATGGTGGTCTAGCTTCAATTGACTCATGATCTCAAACATATTTTCAAAAAAAACTATCATTTTTTTAATCAAAAGTCTATTTGTTTAAAGTTATTTGTTATAGGTAACTTAAATCTAATCTACTTATAATTTTGCATAATAATAATTCTTTATAGATTCCAATGCATCAGACTTTCAGTCAGCCTATTTAACTTGTTTTCGTTTAACAAGAAATTTTTTAATTTGGCGTTATCAATTTATTCCAAGTCAATTGTTTACTGTTTCTAAACCAGAACCAATTCATCATAATACTTCTGACACCCAATTAATCAACAAATCAATAGATGATAATGTGGAAATTTTAAAAACAACTGGAGATTCATATGTAAGTTTCTGTTTGTTTTAATTTCTTTCTAGTTTATTTCTTTATTGTTGACTGAAATGTTTTCAAGTTTAATATTACCTTCTTCGTCTTCTGATAGAATATGTACTGCAAACTTTATTACCATTTCAGTCAGTCAGTAACAACATATTATCTTATTAACCTGATCCAATCATTTCAGTTATTTTTTGTGTAGATTTGCTTACTTTTAATAATCTATATGATTGTATTAGTTTTCATTAGCTGGTCAAATTTCAAAATTATTTTAAGGATTGTTGAACGTATTTTCTTTTATTTTTGTGTTGCTTGGTATGTACGTAACATCATTTTATGTAAAGAAAATATTTGAACTTGGAAATAATGACTAATCCTTGTGTTTGTGTGTGTGCAAGATCAATAAGTATTTCGTATGAAAGCATATTGTTAATGAAATCCAACTTTATCTTTAAGGATTTTATGTGTTATTAATGCTTTTGGGCTGCTGAAAGTTTTCGTAAATTGAATGAAGGTAATAATAATAAATATTGTATTCAATGCTCATTAGGTTGAGATTACATGGTGGTTGGAGGTAGTCGACAGGAAACCCTGGACCCGGGTTTCGTGCTACTTGACACTCGTCAGTAAGGTGTACCTGTAATCTTGAGGGAACTGATGCTCCCTGGCTGACTCGATCTCGTGTCACCCAGCTTCACAGTCAGAGACGTTACCACTGAGCTATCTGACCCGCGACCAACCTCCTGTAGGACTGGGATGTAATCACAATTGATTGATCGCCACCCAGTGATCAATCAATTGTGCTCATTAGGTTCGAACCAGATATTCTCCAGTTTCTCAACCGATAGTAAATCATTTTTACTCAACGAATGATTTTATGTCATCCTCATTAAAATAAACAAATTAGCTTTACGTGGATTATACATTTACGAATATACCGAATAGGTAGTTTTTTTCAAATTCAGCTTACATTTCCTAGTCGTTATCAATATTTCTATTCGAATTATGAATTATAGATGACAAACTATGTGTTAAATGATTTGGTCTTATCTATAAATCGTTGTAATAGATCTGTCTTCTTCCTTCCTTATATTTTAAACGATACGTAATGTTACTGAATAATCATTTATTAGACTATTGATAATGCACCTGTGTCAGATGAATCTTTCTAGATTCATCATCTAGTTTTTAGCAACATATTAATATTAATGGGTTTTCATTACTGTTTTCACTACCGAACTCCATATTTCAATAGGTTATGATGAAGTATTCATAACTTAGTCTAGTTGGTTCCTTCTCTGAGTGACACTTGATACTTCTACCTCTCTCATGTAACTAGCTATTAGCCTTGTGATTTTGTAGTCATGGGAATAAATACATTCTATGAAATCCGATAAGGTGCACAATAAAACATTTCTGCAAATGTATAATAACATTCTGCTTTTGATTTGTAAATTGTAAGTAGGCTACGAGTTTGTCAGCACTAATACTATCTCAGAAAACATTAACTAAGCTTAAGCTACGTTCATTTTTTTTACAAACGAATTCAGTTACTTTTTCAAACATCGAAACCTCCCAGCAATTGGAGACTACCATATCAAATGATGTTAATTTTATGTATTATTACTAATATCATGTACCTACAATAGTTTGATAAAGAATTTTCTCAACATGAACGCTACATTGGAATCGCAATGCTATGATACCACTGTATTCTGACCCAACTTAAGCAGTGACATAACTGTACACAATTTATAGTTAGAAAATATGAACAAAACTTCTTTTTAAACGTCATTAATTTTAGTACGCAGATTTGATTAGAATTGAGACCCAAACACTAAACTCATTGATTTTCCACTATACCGACATCATATTCGATAAAGAAAGTTAAATGCTTCATATGGAAGAATTTCTATAGTTTATAACGATTTAAAACTGACACGAATATTTGGTATTTCAGTTATTGTTCTGTTGTAAATCCGAGCATGTAACCAAATAAACAAGCTTCATTTGAAAATTATGTGTAATAAGACTCACAGATTCACTAAAATCTAGAAAGTTATAATATAGTTAACATAAATACATCATTATATATGGGCACTGTAATAATAAAGTCACCCAACATTTCAATAAATTTCTATTTTGGTTTTTTTTGTTTTGTTCCAGAATTCACAGTTGCAGGACTCATGTACAACTTCACCAGACTCTGTTGCTGCTGTAGTCTCGCAACATCCTGGACGTAAACTTGCAGAACCTGATGATTGGAATCAAATTGCTGGTAGTTTTAAAAAGTTTGTCTGCCCTCTATCTATCATTTAAACATTTTATCAAATGAAATTTTAATGTTGATATGCATTTTAGAGGTCATTCAGCAATATTTTCGAATAGTGTGCATATATTAAACACTATTATGAAAATCTGATTATAGTTAGAATTAACTCAAATTTAATTTTGATCAATTCGAATCCATAACTTTAGTTCTTGATAGTATTCTTTGATACAACACTTCCATATGAATTATAAACGATAGTGAAAAAAGGACTAACAAAACAAGTAATGTCACATTCTGTGGTCGTCCATTCAGATAAAAAGATACGCGCTTCCTATACTTCAGTTCAATCTTTTATGGGAGTGAGTAGAATAGAAATCGGCGAATGAACAAAAATGCATGCAGGTCATTAATACGCGGATATATATATATATATATATATATATATATATATATATATATATATATATATATATATATATATATAATAGACTTCTTCCAATTGTGTATTGTCTTTGCTATCTCTTATCAGGCGCTTGGCCTTGAGATGGCATATGAACACAAGCGCATGGTATGTTTAATCATGCTCAGCCTATTACCTCTCCCTCCTGGAAAGTAGACCTTCCCCGCTGCGGTTCAGCTGCTTGAGTTAAGGTGAGGATACTTCAATTAGGTAAGTTGTCATTTTTTTCAGACTTATATTACAAAGAGAAATTTATGAACATAAAGGGCCCACTTAGTGTACAAAACATGTCTTTGCGACTCATTTTAAAATAACTTGGATTATCCCGTTGTTAATATTTTGACTGAAATTTGATCAACTTTGGTTCTCATTTGAGGATCCTGTGCAGATTACCTCAATTTAGTCATTATGACCCAAGTTAATATAGAATAATTGGAATGTGGGTTCCATCCCTAGCCACATTCCATTTATTGTATATTAACGTGTGTTTTTGCATTTTAACCCTTTATTACCTCAATTCGTGAAGTAGGTTGGTGTATATGAAATACACCGAATGGTTTTATTTCACTATTATCTTCACATTTGATTGCCTTGGATTTGTAGATGACTTCATTGGTCGTAAGTAGTTATATTACTTATATTTAGTTAATGAACTTTGGAAATTTCACATCAATCAGCTTACTGAAACTGCAGACAGAAGTAAACCGCTGTTTATTTCTCTCTATTTTCTAATGTTTCTCCAATTAGTGTGTCAGTACATAATGGATACCGTCTTTCGAACGAACTAATCTCCATAATATTCCTACTCAAATTGATAGTAACTAACTAACTACCTGATACACAAGCCTTGAAACTCTTCAGTTAAACGAAACAATTTGCCTACCATTCGGTATTATCTTTTCGAGAATCCGAAATGGGTTTTAAAGTTTTTTTATCACTTTCTTAGTTGAAACTTCACATAACTTCAAATTATAAAATATATTTGTAAATTCATTTCAATTTCTCACTACATAGGTTGAGCAACATGGCTGCTGATCAAGGTCGGAGACTTGTCAGTCAAAGTGTTGCTGGTCTTGTGAAATTCGGCAGTAAGTATTTAATGTTTTCGGTTGCAATCAAAGTTAAATTATAAATAAGTACAGTCAGTCATTGCCAACGTATATCATGACGAAGATATAATTTATCCTAAGTTTCCATAATGCATTAGCTCGACAAGACGATAATAGCACAATACATAACAAAAGCAATTTAAATAATGTAGTGGCAGTGATGATAAGAAAGACTTAATATTGGTAATGTTTTTCAAAAAGACAGAGTGGAAAGTATGAATGAAAAAATTCTTGAATTCGCAGTCTTAATTAAGATAAATAGTGAGTAACTTCATCCAGAAAGAACTGTTGTAAAGACCACTCAGTGAAAAAACTGAGAAAACATGAAAATGCGAAATAGCCCGTAATATATAGATCTCAGTGAACATGTAGAATTATTAAACCCTTTGTCCCCATAATGTGACTTTAAAAAGGATGCACCCCGCTATCCTACCGAACAATTGCCCAGTCCCATCTTTAATAATTCTATACTACCATACTGTTGAATTTCACATAGGACTAATTCAGTTATCAGCTAGTATGAGAACTAAATACTGGGTTTGCAAAAGGCGGTCAATGGTAAGAAAGGCGGTTATCAAGTTTATTGAATGTAGAAGAAATACCTGCGTGTAGCAGTCGAGAATGTCAGCTATCATGAGCTGGAATTCAGTGAAGTATAAATACCCATTCAGGCATCTTCGAATAGACTCATTTGGTCTGTTTATCGCTAAAAGAGGAGGGAGCTCTCGTAAAAAAATTATGGTTGTCTGTTTACTTGTTCTTAAGTATACTATAAACATCCATTCATATTTGTGCTCTCGATTTTCAGACTTACGATTAACAAAAAAATTTAGCCTAGAAATCTTATTTCTTTTAGGGTGTAAAATCTTGGAACCGTATGTTACATAACTTATTCTTGCTATGTCTTTAGGTCCTGCACCTGATTTTTACGGATTTTGCCATCGTAATGCACCTAGAAATTTCAGCAGTACTAAAACGTCGAATAAAGACGGCCCACAATTCGATATATACCAATTTCATTCAAACTGGTTTTGAAATTATACACATTAATGACTGATTTAAAGATTAATGTTTGAATTTGTAGAATTCTTAAGTCTTAAGTACAAATGGAAATCCGGACAACTTGTTCGTTTTCGCTGATTGACATAGCTCTCACAGTTTTCATCAGAGCGTAAGTGAATAAAGTGGATAATGCTTCCTTTGTGCACCGATATCCTAGGAAAATCAGACAAGTATTATGACGTCTCAGAGTTATATGATAAGCCAGATCCAAAAGTCGTGGATACATAGATCATTCGCCTATCGAATTCGTTCCGTCTGTCTTTGAGTATACAGGTACTGTATGTTCGTTCGATATTTGATTTCTCCTATGTAGCTGTGCTGTTCAAACGTTAACCATTGTGTCATGACAATGACCTTTAAAAGTTGATATAAGGCTTTAAAAGTAGTTTTCAAGACTATCGAAGTTGGACGGCTCCTCTACTTTACAATTATCATAAACCAAAATAAAGTTAGAAAATACACGTTTCGTTATTTTCGGGGAAAGCATTCTTAAGTGAATGGTGCAGACTGTCTTCAAACACCTATTTTTATGTTTACCTGCTCACTTATTGAACTAATTTCCTATACACGTGATTAGAATGTCCTTATCACACACTTTCATTATGATATTGATTCCTTACACAATCAACTAGGTTTATTTCCTCCAATTACTAGGTGATTTCAACTCGACATTTCGTTCATCTTCACCATCAAGTTTTGTTTGGAAATTCTCAGATGCTCTTAAATCAGTTGTTTCAAATCCCATATCAATTAGTTCTCCAATTCTACCACTTGAAACCACAGGTACCAAAGACGAATCAATTTCTCCACAAATCAATGTTCCGAAAACTCAGATACCAGATAATAAAAATTACTTTTAATACTCAATGTTGTTCATTGTTGTAGCTGTGATATTTATTGTGATATATTTTACTTCACAATGAAGTCCTTCTTTTAATCATATTTTATATCAAGCTTTATCAATCTCATGTTTTATTATTCCCCATTTTTATGCATCGTTTTATTCTTGTGGTCGTAAATGCATTTGTATGAACGCAATCTTGTTGTCTGATTCTTTTACGTCCAGAGTTTTGTTGTACTAATGTTATATTTTGCAATAAACATTTGTGTAATATAATAATAACTTATCAATAACCGTAAATTACTTGAAACACGGGAATTTACAGACAAGATCAAATTGTTACAAATGTTGCGTTATTTATTACGTTAAACTTGTTTGTCTATCTATGGTGGGTTATAACTTGAATGCAGAAGCAGGATAACAAAATGTTTATGCATAAACAGATGATTGCTGAATTAAAACTGGGTTATACACTGTGTAAGATAGCGTGTCATATGGATGCTGCTCTACACCAACTCAAGGTTGCAGTGTAGAGTGATTGACTATTTTGAACATGTCTTTGCCAGTTAAAGGCGGTCTCTCATCGTTATATTTGTATATTTGGTCCCGTTTTGTTAGGAATACTCGTAATGCATATTTATCATTCGTCTTCGTGTCTGGTAGACTGTTTTTTGCTAAAGAAACCTTTGATTGTTTAGGAGAAGCTGTTATTTTTGAGGTATTTCGTAATTGTCATCTAATTTAGCTTTGCCAAGTTGGAACCAACCAAATGAAATACAAAGTTAGTGTCTTATTGAATGCATTTTGGCTCGTTAGTCCTTTTTGTTCAAAGCCAATAATAGGATTTCGGCCGTTACGAGTGATCTTTTAAAGGCAATTAATAGCATATTTCAATATGCTCTGAATCTTTACTCCATTTTTCCCTCGAAATCTAATTTTAACAAGTAAGTATAGTGTATAGCGTTTTTCCAACATATTCATTTCACAAAAGTGGAAGCACAGACCATCTCTAACAAAATAGGCGTCTGTTTGCCAAGGTTTATTTCCAACATATTATTGGTGACCTCAGACGTTTCGTTATATTCAAAATATCTTGTTTAACAGTAATTAGTTGTTCTTGAATAATCCAGTCCTTTGTCGTTGACTAAGATTGTTATTTAACAGTTTCCAGGGATATAACTAGTAATGATTTGAACTATTCATTAACTTGAATTAAATGGAGTCATTTGCTCCAACTTTTTAAGTGTTTCATCTAGTTTGGTTGAGTTATCTGCATTGATGGGTTCTGTTACTTAATGCAACTTGTTCTGAACTAGTTCAGTCCTGCGTGGCTGACTGCACTGTCGTCGGTAACCACAAAGGTATCAAATATAGAATTGACAATGGTGTATATACGTACTCTCTTTAAAAACATGTTATTTGCAGCCACTGGAAGTTAAATCTTTCAATTAACATTCTCACTTACTCGAACTCGCACTTGTGTGATGGCCTCCTTTCTACCCTCGTCCATAACTGTGGATACAAATAGTATATTGGAAGCATTTCTCATTTATCCCCATCATGGTTTCATTCCTCAGCCTCAATATCTTCAGCTTTGCATTTCTGGCTGTTCATGCAGTTTGTGACTGAAGCTGAGATTCAGCAAGATTATCTAATGAAACCAAGATTGCTATGTGAAATTATTATTGCTTCATAAAATTATTGTAATTTGTTTGTTACCGAGTGAGCACACACAAATGACAGTTATTCTTTGTCGTTTGTCATTTATTCCATTACTTACAAATGTTGTATGGTTAATTATGTGTTAATTCGTTTTCAAATTTGGTTGTGAACACTTTTCGAAAAATGGTACCTGTTGAACAAGCGTAGGAAATATGTTCAGATAATATAAACTAGTTTGTTTCAATACCACTTTGTCTAAGTGCCTGCTGTTTCATTTGATGTTAGTAACATCGTTAGCACGCTAGATATAAGGGGGAAATAAGCGTGGCCCATACCTTGTTTTTTCAATATGTTTCTGCTACAATTGCATTGAAATGCCCATTCTAGCACATAATAACCTTGTGGAGATACGTCTGGCAAGCTTATTTCGTAAATAGTTTTTAATATTATTGGTATTTATTTTGTCAATTCCTCACTACATGTACATTTATCATTAAATGATTGTACCTGTTGTTTTAGTAAATGACCTTGAACACTTTTTCCGTTGTGATACTACATAGCGTGACATATCGTTGCTGGTTAACAAATACACTGCTTCTCACACACCCGTCGTTCTATTTTCATTCGAGATTGAGTTAACTGAGATCTAAAATAAATATTATTTACATTCATAGACTGTGAGAGCGAATACACCATACCTTACTTTGGATTACACCACTGGGGAGTTCATCGATACGTTTGGAATTACCAAGCATCTATAATTGTGGATTTATTGTACCAGATTAAAGCCGAACACGCATCATTTTGGGTGAACTTAAGTAAAGTCCCATTTTTATTGTATTTGTAACATTTAACTGATATATATTAATATTACTATTACTTTTTATTAACTTTGTTGATACTTTTTGCGTTTATATATCGTCTGGTCCACCACAACCTCTATTCAAACTAACTGAATGGATTATCGTTTGTTTATCATACGTTTAACTTAGTGCAACATCTTGTGTCATAGTACACTGCTCAACGTCAGCTAGACAGTCTGTGATATGATGCTTGCTAACAAGTAGTAAGTGGAATAGAAATAGTTGTCGTTTCATTTACTGACTAATATAATCTGCTGATTAAGAGTTCAGTTGTGTTCTGTTCAGTAAGTACAGAGTTCGGGCGCATTTAAGAACAAAAGGCTCTCCACAAAACCTGCGCTGATATGTCATGTGCTTCGGTTGCTAGTCAGTAAAATTAAAAACAAAGTAATTTACCGGTTCTTAGACCCAAGCAGCCAATACAGACTATATAAGCTACATAATTTATGGGCTTTATATCAAATATTGTATGCTACTTAACAAGGATAACGGTTTTCAAAGTTTGAAGGTTAAAAAAATAAACTTGAATAAATATTACTCAAGTCCTCATTACATAGATTTCTAGACCAATATTACTGAGAGTTTCATCAACTTGTTGATGCACGACACCAGAAAGAGGTTCTAATTAAGCTGACACAAATAAGCATAGTCGATTTCGGGTATCAAACTATTCTTATCATTTAAGCTTTAATCTAATTGAATTATAATACTTCATTTTAAAGTACTGGGTTCAATCATTTCACAGTTTATTTACACGTCAAATCATATTCAAGAACACTGGGGAGACAAAATACGGTACGAAAGTATTAGGGCAGAAAGAAGCGATGTTGTATGGTAATAAAATCCGGGAATACCGACGCTTACGACGGGACGTTTCGCATTACTTAGAAGCATGATATGGTTTAGTTGTATTTTTAAATACATGTAATAATTTTAAAATATCTACTTTCATCCTTGACATGCTTTAAATGAAAATTTGGGCGAAGATTATTTAGGCTATAAAAACTGGGGTTACAATGATAATAAAAAGACGTAAGTTGCGTGTTAATAGCCGTTGGTTAATAACTTAACATATAGGCAGTAAGTATTTTGTGTTTAGAAATATTAAAAGCAGTCTATAGTGTAGAAACGTTAATATTGGTACTGTTTTGGGTTTAAATTATTAAGTCAAATAACGTTTATGCCGGTAAGCTGTCCATATGAGTTGATTTCCAACTGCATCTGCATTAGTAGGCTAACTCATATAACAGAAGTATTACCGTGGAGAAGAATTCCAACTAGTGTTCCAGTTAGTTTGGTACAGTTTATTTAGTTACGGAGAGATTTTCTCGCCCTCATTTCTACTTGACCGTGATAGAATTTAGTAATACTACAAATACATATGAATTGTTATAAAAAAATTTTAAATACCTGTAAGGTAATGATTATGTGAATTTTGGACAGATAGATAAGAGCAATTCGTTAAACATAAGTGTATCCGCAAGAGACATGCTCTAGACTCAATGTTCTGATTTGCCATAGACTATTTACTTATACTTTATACCTACTGGCTGATGGTGAACACAAGTTAGTTGCAAGTATTCAGTTTAGCATGAGGCGGAATACGATTTAACTGATATAGTGGTTATAAGTTTTAAGAATCAATTAAGCTTATGTGCCGCAATTATAGGTGATGTGCTAGTACAAGATGTCTTCGGCTAAATAGGTCTTTACAAGATGATTAACAGTAAGTGATGCTCGAGTTAGTGTCAGAGAGAATACCCCTGTGCAAATGGCATATCTCGAGGAAAGTTCCCCATGAATCTTTGAAATGCTTGTGCCGCATTCTTCAGGCCAAATGGCGTGTAGTAGTAGCTGTCTTGAGGATATCTTAACTAGCTTCCGGGATATTGTGATACGCCCTGACTAATTCAATTTTAGTAAATATTTTCGTACCCTATAAACCGTTTGTGAAATCTTGGATATGTGGTATTGTGTACCTATCTGGTACGGTTTGACGGTTGAGGGCTCTGTAATCCCCGCACGGTTACCAATCGTCTTCATTTTTCTTTGAGACCATATGCAATGGGGATGCCCATTGGCTATCATAAGGGCGGATAATACCCAGTTGTAGCATATAGTCAAATTCAGCTATGGCGATTTTGAGTTTATCTGGTGCTAGTCTCATGGGTCTTTAAAACACAGGTGCACCTTCGGTTTCGATCGTATAACTTACTTTTGGTTTGCTTTTTCGAAGGCTGGGGGTTTGGTCCAGTTAAGTTTGGAAATTCCGCGAGTATATCTTGGAATTTCGCTGTTGTTACTGGAGGATTTTGTATCAAGTTAAGAGATGTGATGTGAATTCTTCGCCTTTCGTGTAATTCGAAGTTTCTTCCAGTGTTAAGCGTCGTTTCTTCGTGTCAACTGGAACCTCGTTCCTTTGTAGAAATTCTATCCCCAGTATTGCCAGATCTAAATCGGCTACAGTAAAAACACAGGGGAACTGCCTCCTTAACTCCAAATCTAGTGCTGAAGTCTTCTGCCCAAATAGTAATAATAATATATTTCTGCATGTGCAGGTACACGCCATTTTTACAGGCATGATCTATAAATTACAACATTTGTTGGTGCACAGCACGCTTCCCAACTAATTATGTTTATAGTTGTTATAAATTAGACTCGTACAGCGCTTGCTGTGAACAATGACCTTGAGGAGACTGTGGTATTTGAATGGACTAATGATACCTTTGTACATGTTGAATGCTTGATTTCGAATTCTAAATACAATACATTCGTTCGTGCTTGTCTAGTACTTCTTGATTTAATTGCGTTAATTCTGGGATTCCTAGTTCATAATATAATTCAAATAATTCGAAACATTATAGACGCGAACGTCAAGTTTATTCCAAACGTCAGAAGTTTCATAGCTGTGCCCTCAGAGCAAATTTCTGAAGAAAAAAAGAGAAACAGAAAAGCAGCAAGGCACCTGAATATGAACGCCAAACGTTGCTTAACATTGTGTAGTAGAACAGACAGAGGTATAATAAATTAGATTAAATTAATATTATCTCTTGTTAGAGTGAAATGAAGTCAGAGGCTCCATATTAGAGAATGCATTAATAAAGAACAAAGAGTTGTGTCATTTACCAAGTTGGAGTAAGCTTGTAGTGGTATTGGACAATAGCCACACAATCCACAAAGCTGTGAACACGAGACTACTCAGAAAATAGATATTCAATATTTAACGCGGAGAAATACCTAACAATGGAAAAGGCGCGAACAAGGAATTGAATGGGCTGGAGTTGATCGAGTGGCATGGCTCGGCCATGCAGGCGTGGTCTCTGCTGAATGTTACCTTATATCTTCTATTCATATTAAATATATTGTTCTTTCTCTAGCCTAACCTTGTTCTACATCATGTATTGGTAATTGATGCGATACAGTGAGTTGGTGTAGTCGATGGTGTGACTTCCACGTAAGATCTTATAGATTAGGCAGTTATATCATGACAAATCTACAAATTTAGGATTAGGTCTATTATTAGAGCAGTACTAATATCATAGTAGACCATAATTCTACATTGGTGAGCCCAACTAAAGAAACGCAACCTATTATTGTTAATCCTTATTTCCACCTTAACCTTCTCAATCGGTTTTTATTTTTGTAAACCCACTATTCTAATAGTCCTTTGATTAATGGTCACATATATTATCGTAATGTTATATCTATTAGTTCACATAACTTACTAGCTCAATCGATAATAAAAGTTGATCATCTATATCAACCAATTAGCTTTGATGGTTCGTTAACAAGCTTTAATAGCATTTACATGCTTCAGCAACATAGACTTGTTTAAACATCAAGCTCTAGCAAATATGACCTGCAAATAGCGTAAGTATACATTGACTAACAATGCAATCAAGGACTAAATAGTTATCGGGATCTAATTGTCAGTGTTCCTTCACCTGACACATCCTGTTTTAAACTATGCACTATCCTGTAATATCTTTTCTTCTGACCACTGCCTGCCTAATTTCATATTTTCGAGTTCCATTGCCAAACAACAAGGATGACACTTCTCCAAAAACATACGGTGAGTTTTATCTATAGGTTTTCTGCAATCATAAGGTCATTTTAGATGGCTCGTTCAATAACAACCACACAATTAACTGAATTCGTTCGATTGTTCTAATCCGAGCGAGTGGCAGAAACGTCAACACCATCAAGCACCCTGGAATTAATTGCCATACTGCATGTTTTATTCTGGATACTTTTGGATCATTACTACTCCTTACGAATGGCGTTATATATGTCGTCCACTGAATAATCTAATTTTTAGAAATAATCCAGGCGAGTTCAACTATCTTACTTAATGATTTTTTGTACTGAACATATATATGTTTTCCAGTTGCTTTTGCCATATATTTGTAAGTGCCCCTAGGCTGAATGCAGTAACTTCTTATGGAATGTTTATAACGCATCATATTCCTGCCTGAAGTTTCATAAGCAGCCTGGTCGTGTTCATTATTTTTTAATTGTCATATACGTCAACAACCTGCTTGTTAACCTAGCCCGTACATACGTTACGGTATATCTTCATGTCTTCTAAATTTAGAAATCATCTGAATCGCCTTTAACGTGTATAAATAAACCCATCATAGTCGTTGTTGCTAATCGTATTTGGGTTTATGGATTGGTTTATCATAGTAGCAGCCTAAAATGCAGACATAGTTTAGATAATTAGGTACTATCAACGGCACTAGTCAAATAACTAAATCCCCAGGTAGCTGTTGACTAAACAAACGTTTAAAATCAAAACTCCGTAGCCTAATAAAATTACCACTAAACGAATATTTCTGAATTGAAAATTATAATATAATTAGGCGTCTCGGATTCTGTAACACTACAAATTTCTGACAATTTTGAATCACCTAAAGCAAAAATACCTATTTTTCCACTGGCTAATCCTCAATCAACACTATAACTAGTTTAACATAATAGTTTCAGGATATCGTCATAAAGCATTGTCATGACTTGACAATCACGTAATATGATTGATAAAATTAATGAAACTATTAACGAAATCGGTCAACAAATTGACTTATAATTACCATTAAATGTTGTTTTCTTGGTATCTTCATCCATCACAGATGATTACAGTATGTTTCTCTATCAGTTGCTCATTCAGTAAATACCTCAAAACCTTGTCAGTCTAATTGATGGTTTAGCGACACAATCATGCATGCAAATAATCAGTATAAGCAGTCGAGCAAATCTCCTGCAAAATGAAAACATCAATGTCGAATTTACCACAACACTGACTAAGGTTCAAGCCATTATCATAGACATGAGTTGGGAGTGTACTCCCCTTGGTTACAACTTGTGTACTCCCTGATAATCACATGAGCATCACTCAAGGTTAATCATCTTGTAAAAACGTATTTGGCCGAGTACATCTTACAGCACCACATCACTTAGTAATGTGACACAGGCTTAACTGATTTCAGTAACTTATAATCACCATATCTCATTTAAATCGTATTCCGCCCGCATACGTGCAACTAACTTGTATGCCCATCAGCCGGCAAGTATAAATATAAATAAATAGTCCATCGCAGATCAGAACATTGAGTCTAGAGCATGTCTCTTACGAACACACTCATGTTTAACGATTTTTCCTAGCTACCTGTCCAAAATCCATATAATTATCACTCATGTATTTGAATTTTATTTTGATAACCATTCATGTGTATTAGTAGTATTACTAAATTCTATCACGGTCAAGTAAAAATGAGGTTGAGAAAATCTCCCCGTAACTAAATAAACCGTATCAAACTAACTGAAACACTAGTTGGAATTCTTTTCCATGGTAATACTTTTGTTCTTCCAGTTAGCCTACTAATACAGATGCAATTGGAAATCACATATGGACGGGTTACCGGCATAATTGTTAATTGGTTTCATAATTTAAACCAAAACTAATACCAATATTAACATTTCTACAATATTCATTACTTTAATATTTCTAAACACAAAATACTTACCACCTATACGTCAAGTTATTAACCAAGGGCTATTAGCACGCATCATTTTATTATTATTACTGTAACCCCATTTTTTATAGCTCAAATAATCTTCACCCAAATTTTCATTTCAAGCGTTTTAAGCGTGAAGGCAGACATTTTAAAATTATTACATGTATTTCCCGACTACATGCTGCCGCTTTCTTTTTGATTTATCTTTCAGCTTACCAATACCCGGAGGATTCTTATTATCCTTGGTAACCTCCGGCGCGCGACGATCCCATCCAATTTGGTATCGAACCAACATCACGTTGATTCTGGTGGGAGAGTAGTGTAGTGGCATTGGACAATAGCCACACAATCCACAAAGCTGTGAACACGAGACTACTCAGAAAATAGATATTCAATATTTAACGCGGAGAAATACCTAACAATGGAAAAGGCGCGAACAAGGAATTGAATGGGCTGGAGTTGATCGAGTGGCATGGCTCGGCCATGCAGGCGTGGTCTCTGCTGAATGTTACCTTATATCTTCTATTCATATTAAATATATTGTTCTTTCTCTAGCCTAACCTTGTTCTACATCATGTATTGGTAATTGATGCGATACAGTGAGTTGGTGTAGTCGATGGTGTGACTTCCACGTAAGATCTTATAGATTAGGCAGTTATATCATGACAAATCTACAAATTTAGGATTAGGTCTATTATTAGAGCAGTACTAATATCATAGTAGACCATAATTCTACATTGGTGAGCCCAACTAAAGAAACGCAACCTATTATTGTTAATCCTTATTTCCACCTTAACCTTCTCAATCGGTTTTTATTTTTGTAAACCCACTATTCTAATAGTCCTTTGATTAATGGTCACATATATTATCGTAATGTTATATCTATTAGTTCACATAACTTACTAGCTCAATCGATAATAAAAGTTGATCATCTATATCAACCAATTAGCTTTGATGGTTCGTTAACAAGCTTTAATAGCATTTACATGCTTCAGCAACATAGACTTGTTTAAACATCAAGCTCTAGCAAATATGACCTGCAAATAGCGTAAGTATACATTGACTAACAATGCAATCAAGGACTAAATAGTTATCGGGATCTAATTGTCAGTGTTCCTTCACCTGACACATCCTGTTTTAAACTATGCACTATCCTGTAATATCTTTTCTTCTGACCACTGCCTGCCTAATTTCATATTTTCGAGTTCCATTGCCAAACAACAGGGATGACACTTCTCCAAAAACATACGGTGAGTTTTATCTATAGGTTTTCTGCAATCATAAGGTCATTTTAGATGGCTCGTTCAATAACAACCACACAATTAACTGAATTCGTTCGATTGTTCTAATCCGAGCGAGTGGCAGAAACGTCAACACCATCAAGCACCCTGGAATTAATTGCCATACTGCATGTTTTATTCTGGATACTTTTGGATCATTACTACTCCTTACGAATGGCGTTATATATGTCGTCCACTGAATAATCTAATTTTTAGAAATAATCCAGGCGAGTTCAACTATCTTACTTAATGATTTTTTGTACTGAACATATATATGTTTTCCAGTTGCTTTTGCCATATATTTGTAAGTGTCCCTAGGCTGAATGCAGTAACTTCTTATGGAATGTTTATAACGCATCATATTCCTGCCTGAAGTTTCATAAGCAGCCTGGTCGTGTTCATTATTTTTTAATTGTCATATACGTCAACAACCTGCTTGTTAACCTAGCCCGTACATACGTTACGGTATATCTTCATGTCTTCTAAATTTAGAAATCATCTGAATCGCCTTTAACGTGTATAAATAAACCCATCATAGTCGTTGTTGCTAATCGTATTTGGGTTTATGGATTGGTTTATCATAGTAGCAGCCTAAAATGCAGACATAGTTTAGATAATTAGGTACTATCAACGGCACTAGTCAAATAACTAAATCCCCAGGTAGCTGTTGACTAAACAAACGTTTAAAATCAAAACTCCGTAGCCTAATAAAATTACCACTAAACGAATATTTCTGAATTGAAAATTATAATATAATTAGGCGTCTCGGATTCTGTAACACTACAAATTTCTGACAATTTTGAATCACCTAAAGCAAAAATACCTATTTTTCCACTGGCTAATCCTCAATCAACACTATAACTAGTTTAACATAATAGTTTCAGGATATCGTCATAAAGCATTGTCATGACTTGACAATCACGTAATATGATTGATAAAATTAATGAAACTATTAACGAAATCGGTCAACAAATTGACTTATAATTACCATTAAATGTTGTTTTCTTGGTATCTTCATCCATCACAGATGATTACAGTATGTTTCTCTATCAGTTGCTCATTCAGTAAATACCTCAAAACCTTGTCAGTCTAATTGATGGTTTAGCGACACAATCATGCATGCAAATAATCAGTATAAGCAGTCGAGCAAATCTCCTGCAAAATGAAAACATCAATGTCGAATTTACCACAACACTGACTAAGGTTCAAGCCATTATCATAGACATGAGTTGGGAGTGTACTCCCCTTGGTTACAACTTGTGTACTCCCTGATAATCACATGAGCATCACTCAAGGTTAATCATCTTGTAAAAACGTATTTGGCCGAGTACATCTTACAGCACCACATCACTTAGTAATGTGACACAGGCTTAACTGATTTCAGTAACTTATAATCACCATATCTCATTTAAATCGTATTCCGCCCGCATACGTGCAACTAACTTGTATGCCCATCAGCCGGCAAGTATAAATATAAATAAATAGTCCATCGCAGATCAGAACATTGAGTCTAGAGCATGTCTCTTACGAACACACTCATGTTTAACGATTTTTCCTAGCTACCTGTCCAAAATCCATATAATTATCACTCATGTATTTGAATTTTATTTTGATAACCATTCATGTGTATTAGTAGTATTACTAAATTCTATCACGGTCAAGTAAAAATGAGGTTGAGAAAATCTCCCCGTAACTAAATAAACCGTATCAAACTAACTGAAACACTAGTTGGAATTCTTTTCCATGGTAATACTTTTGTTCTTCCAGTTAGCCTACTAATACAGATGCAATTGGAAATCACATATGGACGGGTTACCGGCATAATTGTTAATTGGTTTCATAATTTAAACCAAAACTAATACCAATATTAACATTTCTACAATATTCATTACTTTAATATTTCTAAACACAAAATACTTACCACCTATACGTCAAGTTATTAACCAAGGGCTATTAGCACGCATCATTTTATTATTATTACTGTAACCCCATTTTTTATAGCTCAAATAATCTTCACCCAAATTTTCATTTCAAGCGTTTTAAGCGTGAAGGCAGACATTTTAAAATTATTACATGTATTTCCCGACTACATGCTGCCGCTTTCTTTTTGATTTATCTTTCAGCTTACCAATACCCGGAGGATTCTTATTATCCTTGGTAACCTCCGGCGCGCGACGATCCCATCCAATTTGGTATCGAACCAACATCACGTTGATTCTGGTGGGAGAGTAGTGTAGTGGCATTGGACAATAGCCACACAATCCACAAAGCTGTGAACACGAGACTACTCAGAAAATAGATATTCAATATTTAACGCGGAGAAATACCTAACAATGGAAAAGGCGCGAACAAGGAATTGAATGGGCTGGAGTTGATCGAGTGGCATGGCTCGGCCATGCAGGCGTGGTCTCTGCTGAATGTTACCTTATATCTTCTATTCATATTAAATATATTGTTCTTTCTCTAGCCTAACCTTGTTCTACATCATGTATTGGTAATTGATGCGATACAGTGAGTTGGTGTAGTCGATGGTGTGACTTCCACGTAAGATCTTATAGATTAGGCAGTTATATCATGACAAATCTACAAATTTAGGATTAGGTCTATTATTAGAGCAGTACTAATATCATAGTAGACCATAATTCTACATTGGTGAGCCCAACTAAAGAAACGCAACCTATTATTGTTAATCCTTATTTCCACCTTAACCTTCTCAATCGGTTTTTATTTTTGTAAACCCACTATTCTAATAGTCCTTTGATTAATGGTCACATATATTATCGTAATGTTATATCTATTAGTTCACATAACTTACTAGCTCAATCGATAATAAAAGTTGATCATCTATATCAACCAATTAGCTTTGATGGTTCGTTAACAAGCTTTAATAGCATTTACATGCTTCAGCAACATAGACTTGTTTAAACATCAAGCTCTAGCAAATATGACCTGCAAATAGCGTAAGTATACATTGACTAACAATGCAATCAAGGACTAAATAGTTATCGGGATCTAATTGTCAGTGTTCCTTCACCTGACACATCCTGTTTTAAACTATGCACTATCCTGTAATATCTTTTCTTCTGACCACTGCCTGCCTAATTTCATATTTTCGAGTTCCATTGCCAAACAACAAGGATGACACTTCTCCAAAAACATACGGTGAGTTTTATCTATAGGTTTTCTGCAATCATAAGGTCATTTTAGATGGCTCGTTCAATAACAACCACACAATTAACTGAATTCGTTCGATTGTTCTAATCCGAGCGAGTGGCAGAAACGTCAACACCATCAAGCACCCTGGAATTAATTGCCATACTGCATGTTTTATTCTGGATACTTTTGGATCATTACTACTCCTTACGAATGGCGTTATATATGTCGTCCACTGAATAATCTAATTTTTAGAAATAATCCAGGCGAGTTCAACTATCTTACTTAATGATTTTTTGTACTGAACATATATATGTTTTCCAGTTGCTTTTGCCATATATTTGTAAGTGTCCCTAGGCTGAATGCAGTAACTTCTTATGGAATGTTTATAACGCATCATATTCCTGCCTGAAGTTTCATAAGCAGCCTGGTCGTGTTCATTATTTTTTAATTGTCATATACGTCAACAACCTGCTTGTTAACCTAGCCCGTACATACGTTACGGTATATCTTCATGTCTTCTAAATTTAGAAATCATCTGAATCGCCTTTAACGTGTATAAATAAACCCATCATAGTCGTTGTTGCTAATCGTATTTGGGTTTATGGATTGGTTTATCATAGTAGCAGCCTAAAATGCAGACATAGTTTAGATAATTAGGTACTATCAACGGCACTAGTCAAATAACTAAATCCCCAGGTAGCTGTTGACTAAACAAACGTTTAAAATCAAAACTCCGTAGCCTAATAAAATTACCACTAAACGAATATTTCTGAATTGAAAATTATAATATAATTAGGCGTCTCGGATTCTGTAACACTACAAATTTCTGACAATTTTGAATCACCTAAAGCAAAAATACCTATTTTTCCACTGGCTAATCCTCAATCAACACTATAACTAGTTTAACATAATAGTTTCAGGATATCGTCATAAAGCATTGTCATGACTTGACAATCACGTAATATGATTGATAAAATTAATGAAACTATTAACGAAATCGGTCAACAAATTGACTTATAATTACCATTAAATGTTGTTTTCTTGGTATCTTCATCCATCACAGATGATTACAGTATGTTTCTCTATCAGTTGCTCATTCAGTAAATACCTCAAAACCTTGTCAGTCTAATTGATGGTTTAGCGACACAATCATGCATGCAAATAATCAGTATAAGCAGTCGAGCAAATCTCCTGCAAAATGAAAACATCAATGTCGAATTTACCACAACACTGACTAAGGTTCAAGCCATTATCATAGACATGAGTTGGGAGTGTACTCCCCTTGGTTACAACTTGTGTACTCCCTGATAATCACATGAGCATCACTCAAGGTTAATCATCTTGTAAAAACGTATTTGGCCGAGTACATCTTACAGCACCACATCACTTAGTAATGTGACACAGGCTTAACTGATTTCAGTAACTTATAATCACCATATCTCATTTAAATCGTATTCCGCCCGCATACGTGCAACTAACTTGTATGCCCATCAGCCGGCAAGTATAAATATAAATAAATAGTCCATCGCAGATCAGAACATTGAGTCTAGAGCATGTCTCTTACGAACACACTCATGTTTAACGATTTTTCCTAGCTACCTGTCCAAAATCCATATAATTATCACTCATGTATTTGAATTTTATTTTGATAACCATTCATGTGTATTGGTAGTATTACTAAATTCTATCACGGTCAAGTAAAAATGAGGTTGAGAAAATCTCCCCCTAACTAAATAAACCGTATCAAACTAACTGAAACACTAGTTGGAATTCTTTTCCATGGTAATACTTTTGTTCTTCCAGTTAGCCTACTAATACAGATGCAATTGGAAATCACATATGGACGGGTTACCGGCATAATTGTTAATTGGTTTCATAATTTAAACCAAAACTAATACCAATATTAACATTTCTACAATATTCATTACTTTAATATTTCTAAACACAAAATACTTACCACCTATACGTCAAGTTATTAACCAAGGGCTATTAGCACGCATCATTTTATTATTATTACTGTAACCCCATTTTTTATAGCTCAAATAATCTTCACCCAAATTTTCATTTCAAGCGTTTTAAGCGTGAAGGCAGACATTTTAAAATTATTACATGTATTTCCCGACTACATGCTGCCGCTTTCTTTTTGATTTATCTTTCAGCTTACCAATACCCGGAGGATTCTTATTATCCTTGGTAACCTCCGGCGCGCGACGATCCCATCCAATTTGGTATCGAACCAACATCACGTTGATTCTGGTGGGAGAGTAGTGTAGTGGCATTGGACAATAGCCACACAATCCACAAAGCTGTGAACACGAGACTACTCAGAAAATAGATATTCAATATTTAACGCGGAGAAATACCTAACAATGGAAAAGGCGCGAACAAGGAATTGAATGAGCTGGAGTTGATCGAGTGGCATGGCTCGGCCATGCAGGCGTGGTCTCTGCTGAATGTTACCTTATATCTTCTATTCATATTAAATATATTGTTCTTTCTCTAGCCTAACCTTGTTCTACATCATGTATTGGTAATTGATGCGATACAGTGAGTTGGTGTAGTCGATGGTGTGACTTCCACGTAAGATCTTATAGATTAGGCAGTTATATCATGACAAATCTACAAATTTAGGATTAGGTCTATTATTAGAGCAGTACTAATATCATAGTAGACCATAATTCTACATTGGTGAGCCCAACTAAAGAAACGCAACCTATTATTGTTAATCCTTATTTCCACCTTAACCTTCTCAATCGGTTTTTATTTTTGTAAACCCACTATTCTAATAGTCCTTTGATTAATGGTCACATATATTATCGTAATGTTATATCTATTAGTTCACATAACTTACTAGCTCAATCGATAATAAAAGTTGATCATCTATATCAACCAATTAGCTTTGATGGTTCGTTAACAAGCTTTAATAGCATTTACATGCTTCAGCAACATAGACTTGTTTAAACATCAAGCTCTAGCAAATATGACCTGCAAATAGCGTAAGTATACATTGACTAACAATGCAATCAAGGACTAAATAGTTATCGGGATCTAATTGTCAGTGTTCCTTCACCTGACACATCCTGTTTTAAACTATGCACTATCCTGTAATATCTTTTCTTCTGACCACTGCCTGCCTAATTTCATATTTTCGAGTTCCATTGCCAAACAACAGGGATGACACTTCTCCAAAAACATACGGTGAGTTTTATCTATAGGTTTTCTGCAATCATAAGGTCATTTTAGATGGCTCGTTCAATAACAACCACACAATTAACTGAATTCGTTCGATTGTTCTAATCCGAGCGAGTGGCAGAAACGTCAACACCATCAAGCACCCTGGAATTAATTGCCATACTGCATGTTTTATTCTGGATACTTTTGGATCATTACTACTCCTTACGAATGGCGTTATATATGTCGTCCACTGAATAATCTAATTTTTAGAAATAATCCAGGCGAGTTCAACTATCTTACTTAATGATTTTTTGTACTGAACATATATATGTTTTCCAGTTGCTTTTGCCATATATTTGTAAGTGTCCCTAGGCTGAATGCAGTAACTTCTTATGGAATGTTTATAACGCATCATATTCCTGCCTGAAGTTTCATAAGCAGCCTGGTCGTGTTCATTATTTTTTAATTGTCATATACGTCAACAACCTGCTTGTTAACCTAGCCCGTACATACGTTACGGTATATCTTCATGTCTTCTAAATTTAGAAATCATCTGAATCGCCTTTAACGTGTATAAATAAACCCATCATAGTCGTTGTTGCTAATCGTATTTGGGTTTATGGATTGGTTTATCATAGTAGCAGCCTAAAATGCAGACATAGTTTAGATAATTAGGTACTATCAACGGCACTAGTCAAATAACTAAATCCCCAGGTAGCTGTTGACTAAACAAACGTTTAAAATCAAAACTCCGTAGCCTAATAAAATTACCACTAAACGAATATTTCTGAATTGAAAATTATAATATAATTAGGCGTCTCGGATTCTGTAACACTACAAATTTCTGACAATTTTGAATCACCTAAAGCAAAAATACCTATTTTTCCACTGGCTAATCCTCAATCAACACTATAACTAGTTTAACATAATAGTTTCAGGATATCGTCATAAAGCATTGTCATGACTTAACAATCACGTAATATGATTGATAAAATTAATGAAACTATTAACGAAATCGGTCAACAAATTGACTTATAATTACCATTAAATGTTGTTTTCTTGGTATCTTCATCCATCACAGATGATTACAGTATGTTTCTCTATCAGTTGCTCATTCAGTAAATACCTCAAAACCTTGTCAGTCTAATTGATGGTTTAGCGACACAATCATGCATGCAAATAATCAGTATAAGCAGTCGAGCAAATCTCCTGCAAAATGAAAACATCAATGTCGAATTTACCACAACACTGACTAAGGTTCAAGCCATTATCATAGACATGAGTTGGGAGTGTACTCCCCTTGGTTACAACTTGTGTACTCCCTGATAATCACATGAGCATCACTCAAGGTTAATCATCTTGTAAAAACGTATTTGGCCGAGTACATCTTACAGCACCACATCACTTAGTAATGTGACACAGGCTTAACTGATTTCAGTAACTTATAATCACCATATCTCATTTAAATCGTATTCCGCCCGCATACGTGCAACTAACTTGTATGCCCATCAGCCGGCAAGTATAAATATAAATAAATAGTCCATCGCAGATCAGAACATTGAGTCTAGAGCATGTCTCTTACGAGCACACTCATGTTTAACGATTTTTCCTAGCTACCTGTCCAAAATCCATATAATTATCACTCATGTATTTGAATTTTATTTTGATAACCATTCATGTGTATTGGTAGTATTACTAAATTCTATCACGGTCAAGTAAAAATGAGGTTGAGAAAATCTCCCCCTAACTAAATAAACCGTATCAAACTAACTGAAACACTAGTTGGAATTCTTTTCCATGGTAATACTTTTGTTCTTCCAGTTAGCCTACTAATACAGATGCAATTGGAAATCACATATGGACGGGTTACCGGCATAATTGTTAATTGGTTTCATAATTTAAACCAAAACTAATACCAATATTAACATTTCTACAATATTCATTACTTTAATATTTCTAAACACAAAATACTTACCACCTATACGTCAAGTTATTAACCAAGGGCTATTAGCACGCATCATTTTATTATTATTACTGTAACCCCATTTTTTATAGCTCAAATAATCTTCACCCAAATTTTCATTTCAAGCGTTTTAAGCGTGAAGGCAGACATTTTAAAATTATTACATGTATTTCCCGACTACATGCTGCCGCTTTCTTTTTGATTTATCTTTCAGCTTACCAATACCCGGAGGATTCTTATTATCCTTGGTAACCTCCGGCGCGCGACGATCCCATCCAATTTGGTATCGAACCAACATCACGTTGATTCTGGTGGGAGAGTAGTGTAGTGGCATTGGACAATAGCCACACAATCCACAAAGCTGTGAACACGAGACTACTCAGAAAATAGATATTCAATATTTAACGCGGAGAAATACCTAACAATGGAAAAGGCGCGAACAAGGAATTGAATGAGCTGGAGTTGATCGAGTGGCATGGCTCGGCCATGCAGGCGTGGTCTCTGCTGAATGTTACCTTATATCTTCTATTCATATTAAATATATTGTTCTTTCTCTAGCCTAACCTTGTTCTACATCATGTATTGGTAATTGATGCGATACAGTGAGTTGGTGTAGTCGATGGTGTGACTTCCACGTAAGATCTTATAGATTAGGCAGTTATATCATGACAAATCTACAAATTTAGGATTAGGTCTATTATTAGAGCAGTACTAATATCATAGTAGACCATAATTCTACATTGGTGAGCCCAACTAAAGAAACGCAACCTATTATTGTTAATCCTTATTTCCACCTTAACCTTCTCAATCGGTTTTTATTTTTGTAAACCCACTATTCTAATAGTCCTTTGATTAATGGTCACATATATTATCGTAATGTTATATCTATTAGTTCACATAACTTACTAGCTCAATCGATAATAAAAGTTGATCATCTATATCAACCAATTAGCTTTGATGGTTCGTTAACAAGCTTTAATAGCATTTACATGCTTCAGCAACATAGACTTGTTTAAACATCAAGCTCTAGCAAATATGACCTGCAAATAGCGTAAGTATACATTGACTAACAATGCAATCAAGGACTAAATAGTTATCGGGATCTAATTGTCAGTGTTCCTTCACCTGACACATCCTGTTTTAAACTATGCACTATCCTGTAATATCTTTTCTTCTGACCACTGCCTGCCTAATTTCATATTTTCGAGTTCCATTGCCAAACAACAAGGATGACACTTCTCCAAAAACATACGGTGAGTTTTATCTATAGGTTTTCTGCAATCATAAGGTCATTTTAGATGGCTCGTTCAATAACAACCACACAATTAACTGAATTCGTTCGATTGTTCTAATCCGAGCGAGTGGCAGAAACGTCAACACCATCAAGCACCCTGGAATTAATTGCCATACTGCATGTTTTATTCTGGATACTTTTGGATCATTACTACTCCTTACGAATGGCGTTATATATGTCGTCCACTGAATAATCTAATTTTTAGAAATAATCCAGGCGAGTTCAACTATCTTACTTAATGATTTTTTGTACTGAACATATATATGTTTTCCAGTTGCTTTTGCCATATATTTGTAAGTGTCCCTAGGCTGAATGCAGTAACTTCTTATGGAATGTTTATAACGCATCATATTCCTGCCTGAAGTTTCATAAGCAGCCTGGTCGTGTTCATTATTTTTTAATTGTCATATACGTCAACAACCTGCTTGTTAACCTAGCCCGTACATACGTTACGGTATATCTTCATGTCTTCTAAATTTAGAAATCATCTGAATCGCCTTTAACGTGTATAAATAAACCCATCATAGTCGTTGTTGCTAATCGTATTTGGGTTTATGGATTGGTTTATCATAGTAGCAGCCTAAAATGCAGACATAGTTTAGATAATTAGGTACTATCAACGGCACTAGTCAAATAACTAAATCCCCAGGTAGCTGTTGACTAAACAAACGTTTAAAATCAAAACTCCGTAGCCTAATAAAATTACCACTAAACGAATATTTCTGAATTGAAAATTATAATATAATTAGGCGTCTCGGATTCTGTAACACTACAAATTTCTGACAATTTTGAATCACCTAAAGCAAAAATACCTATTTTTCCACTGGCTAATCCTCAATCAACACTATAACTAGTTTAACATAATAGTTTCAGGATATCGTCATAAAGCATTGTCATGACTTGACAATCACGTAATATGATTGATAAAATTAATGAAACTATTAACGAAATCGGTCAACAAATTGACTTATAATTACCATTAAATGTTGTTTTCTTGGTATCTTCATCCATCACAGATGATTACAGTATGTTTCTCTATCAGTTGCTCATTCAGTAAATACCTCAAAACCTTGTCAGTCTAATTGATGGTTTAGCGACACAATCATGCATGCAAATAATCAGTATAAGCAGTCGAGCAAATCTCCTGCAAAATGAAAACATCAATGTCGAATTTACCACAACACTGACTAAGGTTCAAGCCATTATCATAGACATGAGTTGGGAGTGTACTCCCCTTGGTTACAACTTGTGTACTCCCTGATAATCACATGAGCATCACTCAAGGTTAATCATCTTGTAAAAACGTATTTGGCCGAGTACATCTTACAGCACCACATCACTTAGTAATGTGACACAGGCTTAACTGATTTCAGTAACTTATAATCACCATATCTCATTTAAATCGTATTCCGCCCGCATACGTGCAACTAACTTGTATGCCCATCAGCCGGCAAGTATAAATATAAATAAATAGTCTATCGCAGATCAGAACATTGAGTCTAGAGCATGTCTCTTACGAACACACTCATGTTTAACGATTTTTCCTAGCTACCTGTCCAAAATCCATATAATTATCACTCATGTATTTGAATTTTATTTTGATAACCATTCATGTGTATTGGTAGTATTACTAAATTCTATCACGGTCAAGTAAAAATGAGGTTGAGAAAATCTCCCCCTAACTAAATAAACCGTATCAAACTAACTGAAACACTAGTTGGAATTCTTTTCCATGGTAATACTTTTGTTCTTCCAGTTAGCCTACTAATACAGATGCAATTGGAAATCACATATGGACGGGTTACCGGCATAATTGTTAATTGGTTTCATAATTTAAACCAAAACTAATACCAATATTAACATTTCTACAATATTCATTACTTTAATATTTCTAAACACAAAATACTTACCACCTATACGTCAAGTTATTAACCAAGGGCTATTAGCACGCATCATTTTATTATTATTACTGTAACCCCATTTTTTATAGCTCAAATAATCTTCACCCAAATTTTCATTTCAAGCGTTTTAAGCGTGAAGGCAGACATTTTAAAATTATTACATGTATTTCCCGACTACATGCTGCCGCTTTCTTTTTGATTTATCTTTCAGCTTACCAATACCCGGAGGATTCTTATTATCCTTGGTAACCTCCGGCGCGCGACGATCCCATCCAATTTGGTATCGAACCAACATCACGTTGATTCTGGTGGGAGAGTAGTGTAGTGGCATTGCACAATAGCCACACAATCCACAAAGCTGTGAACACGAGACTACTCAGAAAATAGATATTCAATATTTAACGCGGAGAAATACCTAACAATGGAAAAGGCGCGAACAAGGAATTGAATGGGCTGGAGTTGATCGAGTGGCATGGCTCGGCCATGCAGGCGTGGTCTCTGCTGAATGTTACCTTATATCTTCTATTCATATTAAATATATTGTTCTTTCTCTAGCCTAACCTTGTTCTACATGATGTATTGGTAATTGATGCGATACAGTGAGTTGGTGTAGTCGATGGTGTGACTTCCACGTAAGATCTTATAGATTAGGCAGTTATATCATGACAAATCTACAAATTTAGGATTAGGTCTATTATTAGAGCAGTACTAATATCATAGTTGACCATAATTCTACAAGCTCACATGAAGGAAATTGAGTCAAGGCTGGTACAATGAATGCGGTTTATTAGAATGGAGTGTGCTGTAGAGGGTGAAGTGTTGGAAATAGTAATGACTATATCTTTTGTTGTCTAACTTTTTTCTTTCTCTTCTTTTTTTTCCATCTGATGCCGGCCACACAATCCTAGGTTAAAAGTCCGAGTTAGCATGTCATATGTTGTCTTAGTAGAATAGCTAATCCAACATAATATTGGAAACATGAGTCTGAGTGGTGAGCGTAGGATAACAACCTCAATATCACAGATTGATTGACTTATTCCCAATCGTAAAGAGCCTGATACATTCAAAATGTTCTGCCCCACAAACACGGGTGTATTGAAGTTATCGCCCTCACCATCAATGCTTGCTGGTCAGTAACTCCACTCTCACTCCTTTTGTGATGTTAGGCTCATTTAAGCTTATTTTTGGATGTTTGTCATACCTCACACAATCCTCTGTCTTTCACAACCTGTTGGAAAACACTTTTTCTATAGGTACCATTTTACAAGCTTATCAGGCAGTTACAAATTATTGACTGTGGGTAAGGCATCGATGCAGTGCTTCTGTTGACTATAGTATGAAGTATGGTTTGCCAATCACAGTATAAGAATTATAAAGGGTATAATGTAGGATAGTAGTTTATTAAAGCAAGCGGAAAAGTATAGGAGTATATGAGTTGTAGACAAGGTAATGAGTGGAGAAATAATTTTAATTACTAGTCATCATAGTGTACAAAACAGACAGCTTCAGTGAGACTTTTGACACTCGTAATGAGTCCTTCTATGACTAGGTCTTTTGCTGGTTCTTCTTTTTGTGTGTGGATTGTCGTGCGTGATCAGACAGTCAATCAACATAAGCTGTTGCAAACCTTCTACTTACCACAAATTCAGGAAACCATAAACCTCAGTTTCGTTTGACAGAACTGGTAAATCCTAGTTCCCTTGAATCCAGTACTTTAGTTTGTCCCACGTAATTGTATTATCAATGCATATTCGGCTAATGAACTATAAAATTCTCGATTAACTGGTAATAAAAAGATTTTAACCTTTGTTTGATTCTATGACTAGTACCTACTGACAACCAAATATTTTATTACATGAAAGTAATCGAGATTTCTCAGCTCGGTCACGCGTGCGTGGTCACTCTTTTCGAATCAAATATAATAATAATAGTTTATTCTCAGATAACAGTTTGTTACATGAGGCATGCCAGTTTACAGGCAAGATCAAATTGATACAAATGATATAATATTCTCTTCCTTGTCTAAGCGTGTTCTTTAGAAGTGATAGATATCATTTTGCTGACTATCAAATTAGGACGATTCAGTAAGGATTGTGATGTGATTTCCAAGTAAGATCCAGTGGTGACGAATCCACAAATTTCGGATTACGTCTATTACTAACGTATCAAAGATAGATGTGCCAATGCCTAATCGGACTATTTTTTACTAAGCCACTGCCAGTATACATAGATGATAGTCTCATGTCAAATGAGTTTATTCCACATTTGTGATATAATATTCATGTCACTGGACATAGAAAACCCTTAGTCACAAAGATTATTGGTCGAGCAGAAATTGAAATATACGAATGATTTCAACTCACATAGATTGTTTGTTTGTAATATCACATTGACGTTTGAGACTGCGATAAATCAATTTCATTTGACATATATTTCCCTCCTGTGCGGATGAATTCGATTCTACTGGCAGTCATAGTGTGTCTATGTTTGCACTATAGATTATTAATTCCATGAAGTTAATTCATACTTACGTGTTCTAAATTCATATATAACACATAAAATTTTATTTTCTTAGAAGCAATAGTGTTTAACCATTACGCTTCTATGACCGAATACTTCTATTGATTCAGCAAACATCATAATCCTTTAAAGTAGAACTCAGAAGGTGGGGCTGCTTACTTAAGTGATCTTAAGTCGAATACATATCACGTAGTAATCTGGAAACGCGATGAATTCGGACTCGTAATTTGATGATCGTATAGTATCATAGAGCATCTGAAATAACATTAAAGGTATAGTAGCGCTACAAAACAAAGTGCTTTCTGTAAACCTTATGTCATCTAAGTTGGAACAACAACGCTTCCCGTTTTTCTCATCGAGTAGTCAATCATTGGAACGCCTTACCCAAACAAGTGGTATCAGCCTCATCAGTGAATACTTGCAAGGAAAAGCTGGACCTTCACTGGAAAGCAATGTGCCAGGATTAATACAGGTTCACCAACCTACTACCCTTATTACTGAAGACTGAAGACTAATAAAAATTGTACAGGATTTGCCAATAATCAGTTTTGCTTTAAACTTGCTTTCACATGCATAAAGTATGTCATCGCAGATCAAACATCCACGGGTAATTCATATGATAAATATGTAAGCGAAACTGTCGCGGATTCAAAGCACAAAATTCATAATCATTAGTTGCTCCACTTTCAAGGTCATTATAATCAAAGCCTAACCCGCATTGTTCAAACTGTGTAAAATGTAGGTGAAAATGAGTTTCCGAGAAAAAGCAGGTTTTAATAGCGCTCAGGCGTTTTTACATAGGTAGGAAATTCAGTCGTCTTTCGATTAAGTCTTTAGATCGAAATCTTTGTATGATGGGACAAAGTCAACGATGCGCTTGTCGAACATCACAGCAAAATTGCGAACGGTATCTGCAACATTGACAAACACAAATCCTTTCAATTCTAAGTCACAGGAAAATAGTATAGCTGAAGAAAACGCTGATGATCGTAAGTCTCGGTTTGTAAAATAACTGGTTGCAACATATGTTAAACACATGTGCATATTATATAAGATTCATAGATTATTATGATAGAATATTCTATGCTATATTTTGGTGGGTTCTGAACTAATTTCGGTTTTGACTTTTGCACACCTTCCTGATGTTCTGATTATTTTCCATGTGGGCGTTTTGAAGTCCTACTTTGTACTTCAATGTACGTGTGCTTAAAGTCATGTATTTTACCGAAATTACTCTTATTTATATGCAAAATCACTACTTTTATATGTTTCATGACTTAAACGCAATTTCAAAAATTTAACAACACTGAGGAATGTGTGTTTTTCTGAAAAACTCACAACTTTCAGTAATCCAACAGGTTTTACCAAACGTACTAAATTAGAACTTTATACATTCTTTTTTTCTACTATGATAGATGTAGCGCACAAATTTAAAGACTGTATAAAATAACGTTTGCTATACACTTAAAAAATCAACAACGTCTTTATTTTAATCAGTTTCTATAACAAGGACTTTTTAAAGTCATATCAGTAAGCCTATAATTTATGGACGACCTTTGAGCGACGCTAAAGTGATCCTGAGAACGGATACCTATTAATTAGTACAAAATGAGAGCTATAAAACAGTTAGAATTATGGTTTACGGTTGGTGGTTAAGGTTAAAAATTAAGTTTAGGGTTTTCGCCACGAACTGACATCAGCTATAATGCCAAAACTCTATTTAGCCAAATGGATGAATGAATTTCCCTTTATAATTTATTACTCGTTATCTTATATCTGATTGTTTGTCCAAAAATTACAGTCATGCCGTCAGATTTATTGGTATTTAAGTACAGTGCGTAACTGGTATTTAGATAATCATAAATTTCGACTGCTATAAAATTCAAATAAAACATTTAATGCACTTCAAGTGTTTCATCATGGATGATTCCGTTCATCAACCTCAATAAGTCGGAAAATTTTCATCATTACTACAAGAGCCACTCATCATAATAGCTTCTTCCCTTAAACCAAAAACTTGAATGAAAAACTATCATGTAATCGGACCTCTGAAGAATTTCTTTTCCTATATATAATACCCAAATAATTATACGTGACACTATAAGATCCTCAATGTATGAAAACTTTGTAAACAAAAGCTAGCCAGTTGTTAGCATTTTGCACCTGTGTAGATGAATGAGCGGACAGTTTATCAGTAAGCCACATAAGACATTTCTCCAGCGGTAAAATAAGCAAGCAATACCATTTCTACTCATCATAAACACAACACTTTTCAGATAGCTCCAAGAAGAATAGGCATAGACTTAATAATCTGCTTCTCGTCCTACTGAAAAAAGTAATATACTATAAAACAGTACCTAATTAACTTGATCGCGTTAGACGACAGTTAACGTCAGAGATACTTATTAATAACAGAAAATATGACAGTGACAATTTCAGTATGAGCAAACATATTCACAACTGAATAAACCAAACACGTCAATTCATTTCCTAAATACACATGATATGGTTCACACTATTCCACTGTACACTTCCAACACAAATACACAAATATCGGTTTCCAAATGGTATCGAACAACCACAAAAATTCAATTATCTAATCACAACAACATAATCAATTATCTGACAAATGGAATTACATACTTCTGACTTATTAACTATTCATTATGTTGGAAATCAATACTGACCGACACATGATTATTGGAACACTGACATGTTCTCAAGTTTAATTAGCAATAATTTGTTGCAGAAAATTCTAAACTGGATTAATTTGAATAATTTTGTACTTAGAGGACAAATTATCTCACAAAATCCACTACGGATAATTCCTTTCAAAATATATAATCTCATAAGTAGTCAGGCGAACACACTTGAACTGAACTTTCCATAATCTTAAGAAACCGTGAATAAGATTGCCAGATTCGTGTTGGTGGTTAAGTTCATGGTCAAGTATTTCTGGTTGGATAACAGGGATGTGATTCACTGATTTATGAGTAGAGTTTCTAGTTGAATTTATTCGTTTAGTTACAAACCATTACTGAACAGTAAACTACGAATACATCTTTTGTTTCCAACAACGAAATCATTGATTGTTCGTATTCAAACCTCCAAATACACATAGTTGACTTATGTCGAGCAGCGTGATGAGTAGATTAGTTGCAGACTTTAGAGTGAGTCTCTGTGACGAGTCGTTTTAGTTCATGTCACTTGTTATGTGTAAACCATACAGAACACAGAATCACGATGTAGATCGAGACCATGATTGTAGCAGATCCAGTTCAGTTATCTACCACATTTCTTCGTCCAACAAGTCACCTCATCTTCTTTTACATACCTAAACGAGATCAAGACAGTTTTCACGACAATGAAAATAAATTCCAATGTCACTCGAGTCATCCAGTATCTCTTATATGCCTTCTTTGAAATAATTGACGGTAGTTGATGCCGAGGACTATAAGTTTCGTAACATTCTTCACTGGGTACTTCGTACTATTCATTCCACATTTGACATATTACTTGTCCAAATCATGTTTTGAGTTATTTAGCTTGACATGGAGTCCCACAAATTCTTACAGTTTCTACTAGTAGTCTTATGAAAACTTTCCACATTTATATAAATTCTTCATAGCAAGTTAATTCAATATGCATATAGGCATGGACGAGTAATAATAATAATAATAATAATAATAATAACAACAACAATCACATGTTCTAAATGAATTCTCGCTATTGTCGACACCATTAACATTTATTCTAATATTCGGTAATATTTCTAGTTTATATGTTGGAAAATGTACACTCAGTCGTGGTCAAATAGTGAAAAACGAAAGTCTGAAGTTATTTAGTGACAGTAGTCACTTGACTTTTCAACTGAATTCATAACTATACAGTTTATACCACCACTTGTTAGTACATTTTTATTAGCTTCCTTGAAATCAAGACAAACATGTTCACGTCATGTATAAATGTCTGTGTGAACCAACCCCATTTACCTTGTTTGATAGTGAGTTATTTTGAAGACCAGAAGTTCGAACAACTAATTCTGAAATATTCAGTAGGCTGATTCTATAACCACTGTTCGTAAAAATCAGGAGTGCAGTAATAAAATACTTCCACAACTTTATGTCAAATTTTCGTAACCACATGGTGTTTCGTGTTTCTAGTACTCAGTTGATTCAGTAGAACACTGGAGTGAGGTAGTATGCGAAATGTAAAACTCATGTGGATGATTTTGTTGGAGTTTCGTTGTCTGAACTGGATGGATCAATCTTGAATTTTTTCATTTCCAATTCTTCTGAACAGCATCATCAGCACAAACTTCAGTTGGAAGTGAGACATTCTAATTTTTCCACACACGACTAACAGCATGTCCTGTCGACCGTGAGCTTGACCGACTGTTGTCTACTTCTAGTCTGTCATTTTGTGCATATTTATTTTGATTGTCTCCCCCTCTCCATTGACATGATTTATGACCCTGTTTGAAAACCATCCAGTTCTAAGAACGAAACTACACCGGAAACTCCTTCAAGTGAGTCAGGTGACCTGACTATACTTACTGGACTAATCTGGAGGCGACTGTAATTGAAGAGATTCTGGTTAACTAACGGAGTGTATGGATGTGTTCCTAGTGATTGAATGGGAGACGTCTTTGATACTCGTGATTGATCTCGTCTGAAACTCCGATATGATAATTGTTGTTCGAACGGAAAGATCATTACATGATTCGATAGATGTACTTTCCCTTAACTGAAATGATTGTGAATGAGCTACATGCTATTGTACAACTTGTAAATTCTTGAATATTACGTTGCACTGTTTCTCATTATTTTTCTTTGAACTTCTGAGAAATGTTTAGCCATGTTTCATAATGTATTGATACCAATTATGTTACATTATACATAATGTTGCGATAATTATGTTGTCATATATTATTACATTCTTATAGTATTACGATTTCGTATTAAATTTATAAGACTGGATTAAACGCTTAGTATTCTTATTATCGTTCTTATATATATATATATATATATATATATATATATATATATATATATATATATATATATATATATATATATATATCCGTGCAGAGATTCCTTAAGTTCATATCAGTGGTTGATAGAACACTGTATTCTGAGTTTACCGTTTCGTACTAAACCTACAATTTTGAATAATGCTACTTTTATATTTGTTTTTTAGTAGTAACATTTGATGTTGTTGTATGAGTATCAAAATTTGTTTTTATTCTGAACATTCGAGCGAAATTTTAAGGTTCAGTCACTTTTTGAATAAACCATCAAAAATTAAGAAAACTAACCCAAATACTCTGTTTTCCCTTCGCATTTCCCTCCTCACCTTATATTTGGAGTTATTTAAGTGATGTGATATGCGCTTTTAGTCTTGAAGAACTTAAGCTGCTAGAGTGAAATGTTTTTAGTCACGATCCAAAATCTTATATATATGCCTGAAATATAATGGTATACTTGAGGTATGAATGCATTAAAATGAGCTATTCCAAATTTTTACTTCGCTTCTCTTGACAAAAATTAGTATCGGTTTGCATGAATATTTTGAAAACATGTTTATGTTATATAAAGTCTGGATACTCCGTCTAGTCCATAAATGTTTAACTATAGTTTTGTACCATAAATGAAGTAAAATGAAATGTTTTTGTACTATTAGTAATCAACAGTTTTCTGTTATTTTTCTAAAATCATCAGGCTTAATATTTATCAATTAAAGATGAACAAACATTGTGTTGTAAAATTGCTTTAGTTGGATAGAAAGTGACTATCTCTATTTTCTTCATTCACAATCATCATTAGTTGTATTATTGCTGTAATAGCACCTTGCACACTATCCAAAGCAGATGACTGTTTTACTGGACTCAATTCCATTTTTTTTATTTGATTGTTCTAATCCACACAGTAGTTTTGGAATATCAGGGAATGCAGTCACTTGTTAACTGGTGTCAGAGTAGGTTCCAAAC